TGTGATCTTCTCCAAAGAAAAATAACTAATTGGTGTTTATCTCCTCATTGGTGTATTATTTGCAAGGCTAATGGTAAGTCTCCTATCACTTATTAATATCTTCTCCCCTTGTATCTCCAATTTGGGAATGGTTTCTTTCCTTGTTTGGATGTAGGTGGAACCCCCTGCCAAATTTGCAATGCCTAGTTGGTCCTACTATTATAATTGGCAAAAGAAGAGGGGAAGGATTCTTTTGGAGATGTACGAGAGCAGCAGTGTATTGGACAATATGGGAAGAAAGGAACCAAAGAATATTTAATGAGAAAGAGAGGAGTATGGAAGCTTTAATTGAAGCTATCACCCTTAAAGTGGTTCAATGGTAAAAACATTAAAGCTATTTGAGGATGTTTCTTCAGCTAGTTTGATGAGAAACTGGAAGGTGGTGTAGGGATGGCAATTTTCCCCATTTCCCCGATCCTTGTGGGGATCTGCCTCGAATGGGGCAGGGATGGGGATGATTTTCCCCCCATGGGGACGGGGATGGGGAAATTTTCATCCCTGTTAGCATGGACGGGGAATGGGGATCCCCGCGGGGATGGGGAGAGGGTCCCCGTTCCCGTCCCCGCCCCGCCCGGTGCCATTTCTAAGGAGGTGGCTGATTCAGTTCCCTTGAAAGATGTTTGAGGGCTGAAATTCGTGCTGGCATGGAAGGGTGCTAAAAAAGCCAAGGAGTTAAATATTTCGAAATTATTAATTGAAAGTGACTCAAAACTTGTTATCAGCTGCGTTCAGAAAGAGGAGGAGATGGGTTGGTGGGACCGTACTAATGAAAAAAGAATTTAAAGTGGCTGACACAAGGAATGGAAGTTGTCTTGAGATGGACAAAAAGAGATGCTAATTGCTTTGCTGATTTTTTTTTGGGCTAAACAAGGGGTGGTTAGAAATCATATGTTTTGGGCTGTTTTGTAAGTCTGTACATTTGTTTGGGGGAGAGTTAAGAGCGTTTGCCTCTCTTCCTCTTACTTTTTATTTTCCTTCTTAGCGATATTTGGTTATTGATAAAGTGTTGATTTTTCCCATGCACTATCTCTCAACGGAAGGCCCTAATTATGTCTGGAATAGAGCTACTGCAAACAGCCTCAACTGGGAAAGGTTGAGGAAGCGGACAATCTGAAGAAAAGGTACAAGAGAAGCAACTAGAAACACTAGGAATTCAGATCCTACAATCTCTGATGGTGTTTAGGGAGACCTCACTTAAAGAGTCAATGAGAAGGGATGAGAGGGTGGTCTCCGCACCTTACATCAGACCAAAATTTGACTATTATTTTTGAAGAGCATTCAAATTTTCTTTAATATTTAATTTTGTATTCAAATTTAAAAGATATATTTTTTGATCAGCAACTTGCAAATCCTTCTTGAACTCTCTTGTTGCCACCTCCTCCTCCTCTCCTTCTTTCCCTGTTATGGAGGTTTGGTCTCAGCCCATTCCTCCAAAAGGCAGTGTGTTTTGTTGGGAAGTATTCCATGGTTCCACCAACACTTGTGACGTGCTTCAGAGAAAAAAGACCAAAGTGGTGCTTATCCCCAAATTGGTGCTCCTTATGTAAGCTGAGTGGCGAGACTGCTCTTCACCTCTTTATCTCCTGCCCTTTTGCTAACTCTATTTGGGAGTGGTTTTCCTCTTAGTTTGGTTGCAGTTGGAATCCTCCTGCTATTCTGGAAGATCTTTTTAGCTCAAACATTTTCAGGTGCTCTAAAAGGAGAGGAAAAGCGATGGGAAAATGCACTTGAGCAGCAGTGGCCTGGATAATCTAGGAGGAAAGAAATCTGAGGATATTTGATGATAACGACAGAGGCAGAGATGCTGTGATTGAAGTGATAACTATAAGGGTGGCCCGTTGGGTGAAAACTCTGAAAATATTATCAGATTTTAAGACAAAAGATTTCTTCAGATCATGGGGAACAATTGCACATTTGGCTTCTAGAGGATCTATTGTAACTGAATTCTGGTCCTCTCAAGATGTTGGGTAGAAGAAAGTAAACTTTGATGGGAGCTGTTTGGGAAACCCTGGCCCAGCGGTCATTGGTGGGGTAATAAGGGAGGAGAATGGAGATATCAGTACCATGTTCTCAGGCCCTACCTAGTATGGTGATGTGGTGAATTCAGAATTGAAGGCAGCAATGTTTGGTGTTGAGAAAGCTAAAGAGTTGGGGATTAACAGGTTGATTATTGAAGGGGACTCAGAAGTCATTGTAAACTGGCTGAAAACAGAGGAAGGAGCAATCTGGAGATTAAGAAATTAGTTCAGGCGCTTTAAGCAGGCTTCTAAAGACATGGAAATTCACATAAGATGGAATAGGAGGTCAGCTAATAGCATAGCTGATGTTCTAGCTAAGCAAGGAGTCCTAAGGTAATCTATGACTAGAAGTTTAAAAGAGGCTCTTGGGGGAGTGAGGAGTTTGCTAGGGCCTTTGAGGAGTTTGAAAGGAGGTCGCGACGTTGATGTGTTCAATGACTAGAAGAAAAATTAGAGCAAGAAGGATAGAGTTGTCAAGATTAAGAATGGAAGATGTTAGGTCTTAATATACCAAATTTTAAAAGGGGTGGGATGCCGAGTTTAGTGTTTCGTCTAGGTGTAGAAAGAGAGGGAGAAAAGTGGACTTGGGTGATCACCAAGTATGATAAGGGTGGTAACAAGAGGACTTTTGGTGGAACAGGTGTGAATGTTGTTGAGTGTCCAATTTCTTTAGTAATGGCGATACTTGACAAAGTTCAGAGGCTCTGAGGTGATGTGCATCACTGCTGAACCTGGGGTTTCAGATGATGCTCCTCTTGAGATCAGACATGATTCTGGAGGACCAGCTCTGTTTATCTTGGAAGCTGATTCTTCTATTGGTTTAGAGAGGCTGGAAAGGAGTGCCATTAATGGTGATGAGGCTGAGATTGATGGTGAGATTGGAGGAAAGGGGTGACGGTGGAGCTGTTGGGAGTCATGCTGAGATTTACGTCGAGGATTATTTTTAGTTCGAGGAGGTGAAGAATACAAAGGTGGGTGTTGATTTGGGCCGAAGGAGCAAGTCCGAGGAAAAGGTGGAACAGATTAACGAGGTGATAGTAAGAAACCACGTAGTTTGAGAAACCATAATGTAGTGCACGTGATAAAGATCTTCTCTAGGCTAAAACTTGGTTTGTAGGGTCAAGAACTACAAAAAACTACATATGGGTTTAAAGGAGGAAAAGAACAGGAGGCAATGGGATAGTTGGTACTGATCATAGAGGGGCAACAATGCAAGTTCAGCCATCAGTCTCCCATTTGGGGAAGGAGCACTATGAGAACAAAGTGAGTGGCATTGACTCTAATTCTAGTGTGAGTTGGATGATGCAAAATAATGATGGTAATGTCAGTAGCTCGGGATATGTGACTATCCAAAATTAGTGGATAGAGAGGTCACAATTGGTAAGAGCCTAGGTCTGTTTTTTGGGGGGAGTGAGGAGTTTTCTAGGGCCTTTGAGGAGTTTGAAAGGAGGAGATGGCAAGTGAAGGAGAAAAAAAGTTCATTGGGAAGGAGGCAAGGTTTGGGACGAAGATGTTTCAAGCTAGGAGGATGAGCTCATAGATGAAGTTTAAGGTCTCGGTTGATGTGCGAGGAGGGCTTGCGTTTCTGATCAGGTGTCAGGCTGGCTGTCTGTTATGGGCCCGCGAATAGGATCTCGTCACGGGTCGGTCCACGGGGAAAACCTCCTGTTTTCCTTTGTTCCTCCCTGCTCTTGATGAACCTGTCTTGGCGCCCTAATGGTGATTTGTCCAAGAGATCACCTAACTCTCCTTGCTCTCTTTCTTGACTGAAATTTTTGATGCCTTCATTCAATAATAGTGGCTCCTTAAATAGGAGATTACAAGAGTCCTGCTCTAAGGGAGACTCCTTGCTGAATAGGGAGACCTCCAGCTCTATCTTGATAAGATAAGATAAGTCTCTCTTAATCCTAATCTAATAAGATAAGATAATCTAATCTACTAACTTAATAAGATAAGATAAGAATAACAAGATAAGTCTAATCTAATATGCCGAATGGATAAGACTGTTGCTGCCGAATTGGATAGGATGAGAACACCGGATCATTGCTGCTGCTGCTCCCAATACGTGTCCACATCACTGTCGATGTGCAAGGAGGGCCTGGTCTTTGGTCGGGGTTGATTGGGTTATAACTACAGGTGTCAGGCTGGCTGTTGATGTGCAAGGAGGGCCTGATCTTTTTATAACTAAATATTCGTTATTTAGTTATTTTATAATTAACCCAACTTCAGCTTCAGCGATTCAGGAGTTCAAAATCTTTTTAGAAACTCATTCACTAAAAGATAAAGTAATGAAGTCATTCAGTTCAACCATTTCAGCTGTTATCAGATGGGGCCTTACTATGCTTTAAATTTTAGAATCATCCAAGTTTGCTGTTTTTCTTTTCAAAGGCAGTTTTTCACTAAGAAGTCTAGTCTTGGTTTATACAAGACAGACGATGAAAATAAACTTTAGTTATATCAACTAAGGACCTGTAGATGGTTCATTAGGTGCTAGATCAAGATGATCCATCTAGTTTTATTCCAAAATGCTGAGAAAATTTTTGATGGGAGTTGAAATACCTGTAAGAAAAGGGAAAATATTATTGGATGCTGGGAAATATCTGATAGTTGATCTTTTGGTTAGAAGATAACTGATGGTTAATATTATCATAAAATTGATTCCATGGATGGTATTGAGCAATTTGGTAATGAACTTTCCTTGTGACATGTCTCCCTGTAAATCTTATTGAGTTTGTCAATTTTTGGCACCTAAGTTGGGCTTTCAAGATTTGGTATTTTGAATGGAATTTGAACAACATCATGTGTTAGTTGAGATTTCGATCTTTAGGACAAGGAATGTAGTTTGTTGAAATATATTACATTGTTGTAACGGTGCTGTCTTGTTTTGCTGGCTGCTAATGATGGGAGCTATTTTTTCTTTCCACCACCCCCTTTGTTTTGCAGAGAATGTCGTTATGCATGTGCAACAACCTCATGTGCTGATCCTTGTGTTTCAGTCACTGATGGCAATCATGACACTTCTCAGAGTACCTCAATTTCATTTGAAAATGACATGTTTTTTCTTGGTTCCACCCCAAATGATGGTGGTAATGGAAGACCTGTTGATTTAAATTGTGGTGGTGGTGGTGATGATGATGGTGATGGAGAGGGGGGTAGTTCTTCAAAAGTGGAAGATTCAGAAGTTAGGATGGATCTTACAGATGATTTATTGCACATGGTATCTGCAAGCATTCCCTTTCAGTTAGTTTTAATTGTTACTTCTTTCATCATTTGACTTACTTTATGTTAATCATCTCCCAATGCCATTCCAGGTTTTCTCTTTCCTGGACCACATTAATTTGTGCCGAGCTGCTAGGGTCTGCAGGCAGTGGCGGATAGCTAGTACTCATGAAGATTTCTGGAAGTCTTTGAATTTTCAAGATCGGAATATTTCTGCACTCCAATGTAAGTCTTCTGTGTTCCTTGTGGTATTAAAATACCCTAACCTACATTCTTTGAAAGGATTAGTTTAAAGCTAGAAGTATTAATTTGATATGAAGTTGGTCTTGACGTCTTGTGCATTATGTAGCATCTGAGACACGAGGATATGATTTTTTTATGCGAAAGTATAGTATATTAGAAATTTAAAAGCAAGAAGCTATACACGGGGAATTTATCAAAATAAAAAAAAGAAGCTATACACAGGGATTATACAAAAGCTGCCCTTGCAGCACTAAACCCTCAATCCCTGCTTTACCAAAAAACATGATGATATGATCATCTGTGCAGACTGTCTCTACCCATCTGTTTATGTATCCTTGTGCACATGGTTTTCAAGGCGCCAAGGTGAGGCTAGGCAACGGGGGGGGGGTGCCTTGTTGCCTAGGCGACGCCTAGGTGATGGATTTATTTTTAAAGTAAAACCATATATCCTAGGGTAGTTCCCTAGGTTCCATAACCATCTTTCCATAATAATTATCCATAATTTCCATAGGAGAAGTATAAATTTGATGCTTAAGTCTAGAAAATTAACATTTTATGAGAAGAAAAAGAACCAAGGAAAGAAAATTGTAAAAAAATATAGGGCCTGAACCCCTATTTTTGTTATAGGAAAAATAGAAAAGAGAAGGTGGAAGAAGAAAATGTGTTGATTTAGACAACATTTTAATTTCTTCCCTTTGCTAATTGGTTCAGGTTTTTAAATCTTTGAGGGTTCAATCAAGTATCAAAATTTTGATACGATACGCCCCGTATTGGGTGTATTGTATTGTATCTTTGGGGTCCTGGTACACCTGTTTACAGGTGTTTCCAGGGATCCTTTTTTTAAATTATATATATATATATATATAAATGAAATTGAAAACCAAAGAAATAAAAAAATAGGGGGAGTATCGTTATAAGTACCGATACACCTATGCTGATACACAGAGGTGTATTGATACTTTGAACCATGGGTTCAATACAACAGTTAGCAAGGTTTGTGTTGATTAAACCCTAATAAATAAGAAAATAATAAAAAAAATTAGTATATAAACACAAAATGAACATTCTAGTTTAATAATGTCTATTTTATAATTATAATGTCAAAAATTAAAAAATATAATGGTATTTTATAACATAGTGCACAAAAACTGCTTGGTGACTGGGCGAGGCGTGCCTTCAAGGGCGCCTTGTCGCCTAGGCATCGCCTTGACAACCGTGCATGTGCATGCTTGTGTCTGATGATGTTTTAGGCCTATTGTCTATAAATTTAACCAAACCCATACAAACCATTAAAACTGACTTTGGTGCAGTGGTGCAGCCCTGTAAAATCCATTCAATCTACCTTTTTGCCCTTTTGCAAAGCAACTTGAAATATTGAATCCATTTCCTATTGTTGATTCTAATACAACGTACACATCTGACTGCAGATCCCCTTTGTTAACATCTTTAAATTCCTTGTGACAGAGTCGATTCTGCCAACATTGAAACAAATACTGCCAACACTCTCCTTCTTGACTTTTACTTCACTAAGTCACCTATTTCTTTTGTTCCAAAATCTCAAATATACCACAAAAGGGATTGCACTCCATAAAATATTCAACCTTTTGCTATGTCACACTAGGTAAGTTTCACTAAAAGAAATAAAGTATGGGCCTTCTTGACTTTTACTTCAATAATTCACCTATTTCTTTTGTTCCAAAATCTCAAATATACCACAAAAGGGATTGCGCTCCATAACATATTCTACCTTTTGCTAAGTCTGATTGTGGGTGAATGAGCAAAAACTTCATTCTGATGATTTGTATCTGATCTCTGATTATTGAGAGTTGGGAACAGAAATGCTCAAATGAACGGAAACTCCCTTCTGCATGTTAAACACTTTTATTCTGTTCTTCTCTTTTAGAAACACTAGGTAAATTTCACTAAAAGAAAAAGTATGGACCTCTGAACAATGATGTGCTGTACATATATATCAATTTAGGGCCCTCCAAAAAAATCCACCCTTAAAAAAGCAGAAAAATTGTTAAGACACTGTCCATTGCCTCAACCATGCAAATGCTTCCACTCTTGGAGTAATGGGATTATCTCATACCCCATAATGTTTTATCTCTTTCCCCCATATGTCTTACCAGAACCCCATTATTTGACTATGAATTTACAATGAGCATCTTCTTTCCACCATCTTTCATTTGAGTTGCCTTTGTGTCTTAATCTATACAATCTTGGACATAATTCCCACAGTTTTCCTTCTTCACATCACTCCCAAAATCTAACATTGTTACCCTTCCCTAACACAAACTTCATTGACTGCAATGCAAAATGCAGTTTGAAATTTCATTATACCCTTCAATTCACTCACCATGTAAATAGAATAATTATCCCTTGTATCCCACCTAAATCTGACTATGCCATAATGATATCCTACCACACCTCTCCATAACACCTCCCTTTCCTTCCCAAATTTCCCCCAACCACTTTGCCAACAATGTGTTGTTTTAATTCTCTAATTCTCCTAGTGCCTGGATCCACCAAATTTCTTTGAGCTACGTACTTTCTTCCACCCCACCAAATGAAACATCTTCCCTTTCCTTTCCGTGAGAAATTTCTTTGAATCTTCTAATTTTGGTTAGCAATATGTTTTTGTCTCCCTACTTTAACCAATATGCTCTCAACCTTTGTTTCCAAAACACCACTTCTCAACCTTTGTTTCCAAAACACCACTTCTCTATGTATAATTGCTTTTAATTCCTTTTTCACCATCTCCTTTTTCTGCCCTCAAAATCCAGTCCATTTTCCAACAGATGTCTGGTTCCAACTTTTTATTTTGGCTTTTAAACCCTGCAATTTTCCAATAAGAGGTTTATGTTATCTGTGTCCTCTATGCAGCTCCGCCCACCAGTCATCCACCAACTCCAAAATTTCTAGATGATGAAGCAACATGCTCAACCTTAATGCAGACAAATCTCTTCTTCAATAATATTATTGTTGATGTTCTTCCCATGATCTACAAAGCAAAAACCTATCCAGACTTTGGAGGAAGCTGCCCCATAGGCTATGTGAACCTAGATCCCTTTTGTGGTGGATCAATCAGCCCCTTTTTTGATATAAGCTCCCCAAACATCCTCATTCACTTTCATTTCCCATCATCCTTTATCCTTTCATTTCACCTATTCTTCTAACTACATTAAAATCACCTCTATCACCCATGGATCTCCCATCTATTCCCAACTTCATCCTACTGTTCCCATTTCAATTCTCTCTCCATCTTCATTGTGACTACATATGTTTTAGATCACCTAAACCTAATAAATAGAGAAGATCTCCCCTTTGCTGAACCTTTCCTCCCTACTACTCTAAGATCCCCCTTCACCAACAACTCCCCAATAACCTTACGACATCAAAAGATTCTCACTCCCGAATGTTTGACTCTCCAAATTTCATTTCTCATCTTCATATCAAAGCCTTCCAATTTTTGATTCCTAAGGATGCCCACTTTATTCCTGACTAAATTCTGAGCTGATTCTCTTCATGTAGGATCTCCCAATCCTCCTTTGTTCCTTGAAAGATTCTCACATTACTCCTTTTTTCCCTTCTCTATTCTCTCTCTCTCTCTCTCTAGTGAGCCAACATAAAAGATGATAGGAATCGATCAGCACCCGAAGACTTATTCTAGAAAGAAGGCCTTACAACAAGTCCTGATATGGCAGTGATGGTACTTGGGATTTGGACTGAATTGAACACCAAGGGTATTTTTGCCATTTTATAATTTTCTGTAGGGTCCAATTATAGGGTTTGATTATCTAGTTATAGTTTGTTTATGTTTAAAATTTCAGAGTCATTGCACAAGTAGGATTAGAGTTATTGAGTCTTCTTTGAATTGAAATAGGATATGACAACTTTGACTCCTAGGATTATTATGAGTTTAGAGTCTATATGTATGGACGTTTACACAGACAATGAATCATGTTGAGTTTTCTTCAGCTTATGCTAGCTATGGTGTGTGATTCCCATGCCCTAGAGTGATTCTAGGCACCCTGTGAGTGATTCCAAGCAATTTCTCTCTTCTCTCTCCCTATTCTCTCTTATTCCTTCAAGAAGCCATTATATCCATTGACAGCCATAAAACTCTGATCAAGAAGACCATTCAACATTCTCTAAGGACTAGAATTGAGCTGGTCCTACATCACAAAAATTCCTTTAGTCTTTGTTTTGGTTACTGAGGGTCGGTATAAAACTCTTATTGGTTATATTGATTTGCAGTTGTGGCTATGTGTCATCGGTATCCAAATGCAAGTGAAGTGAATATTTTGGGCGCTCTCTCTATTGATGACCATGTTATGATTGCAATAACCTCCTTAAGGTATTGACCATTTTGTGTTACTTTGCATATATCTGCATATGCTCTTTTTGATGTTACCTTACCATAATAAGCTTATACTCATGGTTGATCTTCAGGAACATTGAGGCTTTGACTTTGGGCAAGGAGCAATTAAGAGATGATTTTTTTCATTCCCTAGCTGATTTTTCTATGTTGAAAACTTTGCGTGTCGTTGATGCAACACTTGGTAATGGCATTCAAGAGATATCTGTGTACCATGATAGATTGCGCCATCTTCAAATTCTTAAGTGCCGTGTGCTCCGTATTTCCGTGAGGTGACAAAAATGCCAAGTTTGTGAACAATGTTTTACTGTGCTTGGTTATTCTGATTTTTATGTTGAAACAAAATTCTGCAGGTGCCCCCAGCTTGAAACTTTGTCTTTGAAGCGCACCAACATGACACATGCAATGCTTGCTTGTCCTCAGTTACATGAATTAGATATAGGCTCCTGCCACAAGCTATCAGATGCTGGAATCCGTTCTGCAGCAACATCATGCCCATTATTAGCATCTTTGGATATGTCAAATTGTTCATGTGTAAGTGATGAAACACTTCGGGAAATAGCCCTCACTTGTGTTCATCTTCGTGTCCTCAATGCCTCGTACTGCCCAAACATCTCTCTTGAGGTTAGTTTTCTCCATGTTTTTTTTCTTGATCAGTCAATCTTTTCTGTGCTTCAATAGTTTGTTTTGTTCCCACCAAAACAACAGTACTTTGTTTTGACGATGCCTGATTACTCTTTATCTGATATTATTTGGTATTGCTGCTGCTGCTAGTCTGTTAGACTGCCCATGTTGACAGTTTTGAAGCTTGATAGTTGTGAGGGCATAACTTCTGCTTCAATGGCTGCAATATCCCATAGTTATTTACTGGAGGTTTGGATTAGCTTTGCTATTTTTTATATTGGTGATTCTCAAACATTTTTCTGCAACTTTTGTTCGACTCTTTTTACTTATTAAAAGAAAATATCATTTTGTTCTAGGTCTTGGAGCTTGATAACTGTATCTTGTTGACATCAGTTTCCTTGGACCTTCCACGATTGCAGAACATCAGATTAGTACATTGTCGCAAGTAAAATATATTGCCTATTTTGTTTTCCCCTTGTTGTTTTTTACTCGTGTTCTGTCATTAAGTTATGGATATTTGGAATCTGTTGATTCCTTTTCACAGATTTGTTGATTTAAATTTGCGAAGCCCCATGCTTTCATCTATAACAATTTCTAATTGCCCTGCACTTCATCGCATTAGCATTATGTCAAGTTCACTTCAGGTTTGTCTTCATCAAAATAATCAAGTTCCTTTTTTTATCCCTCCAACCTGAAAAAACCTTGTCATTGCTTAAAGGGTGGGAATCTTGAAAAGTTTTTTGGTCATGCAGAAATTAGTATTGCAAAAGCAGGAAAGCTTGACAACTTTGGCATTGCAATGCCAGTGTTTGCAAGAAGTGGACTTAACACGTTGTGAATCTTTGACAAATTCTGTTTGTGAAGTTTTTAGTGATGGTGGTGGTTGCCCGATGCTCAGGTCACTGATTCTCGACAGTTGTGAGGTTAGTGGCTTCTCTTTTCCTGTTTCTGCATTGTTTTTCCATTTAAATCCGTTTATGCTTTACACACATTTTGTTTATATTGGTATTATTGAATGGAGTGGGGGATAATCAATTAATACAGCTGGTCAAAATGGTTTGCCAATGCAATGAATGGTCATACTGGCAATGACAGCTGGATTCATTATGGTTGTGGTTGGTGAAATCTCTACACATTTTGAATGATAAAAAAACTCTAGACATTTTGTTGTAACCTTTTATTTCTTTTAATAGAAAATTAAACGTATAAAAATGCCTCACTTGAGGTTTGTGAAGTTATGTGGAATATTTATGATAGTGTTTAACTAAGATGGTGTTTGATTTTGAGACGCTAATTCTTAATTTGTTTGCTTCTCAAATTTTTACCTGTATTTATATTTACCAAAAAAAAATTTACCTATATTTATTGTTTGTGTTAGTTGATTTTTTGATGCCTTGATATAGTTCCTAGTTCTTTTGTTGATTCAGTTGATTGGTAAATCTTCACTTGTTTAACTGAGTAGTAGTATTTCTCAGTTCCTTTCGGTTTGACAGACAGCCAATATGACCAATAATTTTTCTTTAAATCCTGAACCAGCAAAACCATTTGTTCCGTTATTCCATTGATGTTGCAGGTATAGGGGTTATGTTTTTTACTTGAATCTATAAAGCATGAACTGACAGATATTTTTGATCTTGTTATCATAAAAAAGGTATTTTCTTCTCCAAAAAGCCAACAACTCATTGAGGGTTGTTTTCATGAAGTTATTGTGATTTGACATTTTCACCCATAGAAGGATGGTCCATGTAACTAGAAGGATAGCTTCCATTTATCTGTGCATTCCGTGTGTCTTCAACATTGGTTGGCTTAGACCTGATTGCTTTTTTGTTTGGTTCGTTTAAAACATTCTACTGTTTTAAACACAAGGAAAAATTTATTGTTCATAACATGTTCATTCTGCTAATAGTTCTTGTCGACTCTTCTACCTCATCAAACTGAAAATACCTATTTAATTTTGTATAGAGTCTGACAGCGGTAGGATTCAGCAGCACTTCTTTGACCAAGCTTTCCCTTGCTAGCTGCCGTGCTATGACTTATCTTGAACTCACTTGCCCGTATCTTGAGCAAGTCTATTTAGATTGCTGTGATCATCTGGAAAGAGCATTGTTTTGTCCGGTAAGTGTACTTACAACATGATTTCTTGCTATGCTCAAGTCTATTGTTAAACCTTTGCATAATACTTGTTGGTTGTTGAATATATGTGGCTGATGAGCCATAATATTGCAGAGTTTGGTTATTAACATTTTGAATGCTACAAGGCTCTCAAAATATCACGAGTCTCTATTGATACTTTAAAGACATCTTACATTGATGTGATTTTGTGTGTTCTCTGCTTTTTAAACTCTTTCAGCTGACTAATAAATTGTATTATGTAGGTCGGCCTTCGGTCCCTGAATTTGGGGATATGCCCCAAATTGAATGTACTCCAAATTGAAGCACCACAAATGGTTGTGTTGGAGTTGAAGGGATGTGGTGTGTTGTCTGAGGCATCCATAAACTGCCCTCGTTTAATGTCTTTAGATGCCTCCTTTTGCAGGTGATGTTCTAAGTTCTCAATATGATATCTCTAATTTTCACCCCAAAAAACTGATAGTTGTACTGTTTTTCATATACAGCCAGCTCAAGGATGATTGCTTGTCTGCAACAACTGCGTCATGCCCTCTCATTGAGTCACTGATATTGATGTCCTGCCCATCTGTTGGTCCTGATGGTCTTTCTTCTTTGCACCGGCTTTCATGTTTGACATTGCTCGACTTATCCTACACTTTCTTGATGAACTTGCAGCCAATTTTTGAGTCATGTTTGCAGCTGAAGGTAATTGTGGCATACTTTAACCAAAGGTGGATATGCACCATGGAAGTGCCATCATAAATTCTCACTTTAGCTTTTACCAAAAAAAATCTCACTTTAGCCATCTTTTCTGACTAAGCTTGACTTTTACTTGCATAGTAAAAGTCAAGCTTAGTCAGAAAAGATGGCTAAAGTGATTAAAAACACATGGATCACACTGACCTCTCTCTCTCTCACAACAAATTGTAAAAATAGTGAAGCTGATAAAAAAAGTGAATAAAAAAACAACCATAGATTGCAAATGTTTGCACCTTCTATCATCATTTTTTTTCTGGTTGAAATAATGATGTTGGCTTCACTAAATGGCTGATGATCATCTCTCCATATGGAAAAAACAGGTATTGAAATTGCAGGCATGCAAGTATCTTACGGACTCTTCATTGGAGGCTTTGTATAAAGATGGTGCTCTCCCAGCCCTTCGTGAATTGGACTTGTCCTATGGAAGCATCTGTCAATCAGCCATAGAGGAACTCCTTGCTTGCTGTACACATCTTACTCACGTGAGCTTAAATGGATGTGTGAATATGCATGATCTTAATTGGGGTTCTAGTGGTGGTCAGCTTGCTCAGGTGCCAAGCATCAAGGGTTCATCTGGTTTGTCTTCAGAAGCCATGCATGAGCCAATTGAGCAGCCTGACCGGTTACTGCAGAATTTGAACTGTGTTGGGTGTCCAAATATTAAAAAGGTTGTCATTCCTCCGAGGGCCCGTTGTTTTCATTTGTCTTCATTGAACCTTTCTTTGTCAGCAAATCTAAAGGAAGTTGATGTTGCTTGTTTCAATCTGAGCTTTCTCAATTTGAGGTATGCTCCACTTCCCCTCTACTCAGACTGGGTTTGGTTGGACAAATCTCTACTTTGTGCTGTTATTTTGCGTAATAAATTAAAATTTCCATCTTTACTGTTTACCCTTCAGCAATTGTTGCTCTTTGGAGGTTCTAAAGCTCAACTGTCCAAGATTAACTAGCCTCTTTCTTCAGGTATGCATTTTCTGGTGCAGTCAAGTTATTGTATAAATTTTTGGTCTCCAACAGTTTCATTTCGCTGAAGGAAATTCTATTCTTAGATATCAATGCCACTACAATGCGCTGTGTTAAATATTTCTTGGGTCAAAATTCAAAATGAGTGGGCGTTCATTACCAGCGGATCATTGTTCAGATTTCCAGAAAAAATCTTCAAAACAGTCAAACTACAGAATAGATCATCTGATATTGGGTTTTGGCACCTAAGATGCTAGCGTGGCTAGAAATTTTTTTTTATAGCAGCTATCCTGATTCACCAATCACCACGCACAAGGAACAGTGCTCTATTATTTAAATTGATTAGCCACTCGGCCCCCATAGTACTCCTTGTGTGTGGCTTGAGCTGCAACATATAATGCACATTTTTTAATCATTGCCATATATTACATACTTGAACTCCAATGCAGCAACGCCCCCTCCCAAAGATTTTTTTCCCGTATATTGTGGGTTAATAGAATTATAGAAATCAAGAAAACATTGAAATGTCTAAATTTGGATATCCACTTCATCTGATTAGCTGTCAAATGATATCAGAGTAAACACCTGCCGAGTTGTTAGACCTGCCTCTGTTTCCTGCTGATTAGTTTTTTCTTTTTCTTATTTTTCCATATAAACATTAGTGGTTGGTTTGATATAGTCTTGCAGCATTGCTGAAGAAGTAGTTGAAGCTGCCATATCAAACTGCCACATGCTGGAAACACTAGATGTCCGCTACTGTCCAAAGGTAGGAGAATCCTTCGTGGAATCAATTGAGCTTGTTTATTAGCCATTGCTAGTGAAACAAAATTGGTAGCTACTCTTTTGAAAATTGAAAGTTTGGATCAAAGAGATTTCTGATCATTCATTCCTATGGTTCATTCTTTCCCATATAGTCATTATTTTTCCTTATTTGAGCAGATATATTCTGTGGGCATGGGGAGGTTACGCATGGTATGCCCGAGTCTGAAACGTATATTCAGCAGTCTGTCTGCAACATGATGCGATCTGCATATACCACGCATCAGTTTTCCCTTGAAGGTCAGATTGTTTCAAAATGTCTTTCCAGTGCATGCTTGCTCTCGTCTATCCCGAGGAAATCAAGCCATTTGTTCCCATTTTGTAAATAACCAAGTTCCTTTCCCATTTATTCTGGTGCCATCTGTGTTTGTATGAGTTACTGGTTACGAATTGCTGCTTTTGGTTCAGCTTCCAGCAGATGTAAACGATATAATAAAATTTTATTTAATGTTCATCTTTTATTGTTTGGCCTGTCATAAATTGAAATTTCTTTCTAGACTAGATATATTTTTCTGAATGTTAAATTGCTAACAAGCAGTCTGTAGTCTTGAGTCTTGACAACATAAACATCAGCTCTTGCCTACAATATAAAAGAAACCAACATTTTTCTTCAATGTTTTAATTAATGGATTTGGTTACATGTTAACAATCTGGTTGTACCAGTTATTCTATGATTCTATCCATTCAAATCACTCCGACGAGGCTAAGCTCAGCATTTTGACTCGTTTTACGACGTTTTCCTTTGCTAATAGAAAGAATCCCAGCTCTCCAGTATCTCACTTCATTGAAATCGAAACCATTATTTTCAACCCATCGTTGATCAGGACGGTTGAACCGTTAATCTAGTCAGTCCAGGTCAATGATTCATTTAACCGGATCGTTGAATTCTTGACCTTTTTATCGGATCACAATTCTTGACCTGGACAGATGAACCAATGACTCATCCGCCTAGAGCCCAAATCAATCTAAAATTTGAGTGGGCGGCCCGAGCCCAAAGCAGTGCAAAATGCTAACTCGGGCCAACCCAAGTTGCAAACATTGATTGAAACACCAGCATCTCTCTCTACAGCTTACATTGAAAAGAAAACATTGAATAATGTACAATTAGCAAATTATCATCATAAAAATGCCATTACTGCACCCGTGGGTGCACTGACGAGTGAACCCGCGAATCAGAGTCCTCCACGTCAACCAGGAAAAGGAACGCGTATCGTTAACGTTTCAAGTGCCGTTAGTCGGGTTTAGCGGTTCAACCAGCTGCAAAATGACAAAAATGAAAATCAAAAACCCTGACAAACCTCATTTTTGACTTTTCCCTCTATGTTTTCCCCTGGAGACCGAACCCTACCCACACTATGATTCGAACCAGTGGCCGCCGGCGGCGATGGTGAGAGCTCCAACTGTACGTTTATCTTTTCCTCTTCTTCTTCTTTTCTTCTTTTCTTCTTCGTCATCAGATGCTCTGGTTTTGAGTGCGCGTTTATTTATATTGACAGTAGACCTCTTCATAGCCGGGCTCGAGTTTAGTTTTTGCCATATACACAACACCGAATCTATTCAACTGGAAGTTCTTTGAGTTCGGGCCTCTAATAAATAGTTTGGCCACTTGGTGGTTAGTGATAATAAAAAATTTTGAAAGATTCAAGATGATTGAACATGCAAAGAAGAGATGGAAGGTACCCTAATTTTGGACTATGCAAAGGAGAATTAGAAGAGCACTTGAACCCGTGGAACTAAGCGGAAGATTCAAAAGGAGGTTGAACCCGTGTTGTTGCCTATGAATAAATCGGTTTTTGGTGGTGGATTTGATTTCATCCCATCGCCGCCTCTGATGCTTTATCAGAATTTGAAGGACAGAACCGAAAAATTATCAATGGACGAGCAAATAATTGGGCCAAAGGGGTGTGAAGTGTGAACTGTGAAGAGCTGGGGGCTTCGGTGAATATTGAATAGAGATGATCAGGGTATCACCGTACCAAATCATATACTTGCTTTGGTACTTAATTTGAGGTGATAAAAAGATACGCCGGCATGGTCAGGGTCTCAGGGAGGAGTCCAGATCAGATTCTCACAAAGGAGCGCTCTGTGAGGGACAGGGATAGTATCATTTGAGTCTGAACTCCGAATTGCACACAACAAAAACCGTGGAGCTCTCCTTGTCGCCGTCGATGGCCGCCAGAGAATACAGGGGAAATGCAAACAGGGTTTACTGCATCGGCCACTTGAAGGTTTTGGTGGAACTACTACTACTGGGAGGAGGAAAGTTCTAGGGAAAATCACTCAAAAATCTCGCAGTATGGGTTTGGCTCTGGTTCATGTCCGGTTGAACCGTTGAATCCAAAATAACGGCGCAATTGACTGTTAATATTTGAATGGTCGACGTGGTCAAATCCAATTGGCGGGTACACTCGTCGAGTACACCCATGGGTGCACAGAACGCGGACTCGATGGGCTATATGGGATTTTGTGAGGGGTGGACTACATACAGACAGAAAACCCAACATATTCGGCCCAAGGTTTTACCATAATACCAAGCAATGGCCCACCACTAACATAAAGAATGCGTGAATTCGGGGATGGGGTTGCGGGGGTCTCTATAATACCGTAATCCAGTAGTTTTTTTTTTTTTAATATTAATTTATTCTAAAATCCTATTTGTTGATATATAAACTATAAAATAAGGCACCTGTTCCTAAAGAATTTGAGCTGACCTCATTATATCATGTCAGAAAACCCAAATAAATCCTTCTTGAATCAATACAGATAAGCTGAAAAGAGTCTTCTTGTTTTTAGTTTGGAACATTTAATTGTGAAAAATGGAAGTTTACGGATTCACATGCCTCTGGAAAAAAATAAAAATAAAATCTATCCAAGCTATCCCCCGCTTATATATACAGGACCAAATCCTATCAAAACAAGCCTACCCAAGAATACAAGCAGAAGCAATAAACAACGATTGCTCCGGCGAAGATGCTTCACATTCTCTTCCTCTTTTCCCTCCTCTTCTCCGCTGCTCGCGGCTCCGTCCAGGATTTCTGCGTTGCAGACCTGACGGCCCCTGAAGGTCCGGCAGGCTACTCCTGCAAGAAGCCCGCCAAGGTCACTGTCAATGACTTTGTGTACTCTCTTAGCGCCGCAGGGAACACCTCCAACATTATCAAGGCTGCTGTAACTCCAGCTTTCGCCGCCCAATTCCCAGGACTCAACGGTCTCGGCATTTCAATGGCTCGTTTAGACCTTGCCCCTGGTGGCGTTGTACCAATGCACACCCACCCTGGTGCTACGGAGCTCCTCCTCGTCGTGCAGGGGACGATCACCACTGCTTTTATCGATTCGGCCAGTTCTGTTTACTTGAAAACGCTTAAGAAGGGAGATATCATGGTCTACCCTCAAGGATTGTTGCACTTCCAGGTGAACGCTGGTGGAATTCCAGCCATCGCTTTTGTTAGCTTCAGTAGCTCCAATCCTGGCCTCCAGATTCTTGACTTCGCCTTGTTCGCCAACAGCTTACCCACTCCATTGGTGGAGAAGACCACCTTCCTCGATGAAGCTCAGGTGAAGAAGCTCAAGGCCGTACTCGGAGGTTCAGGCTAAGCCCGCCAAATTTCCTTGTTCTCGTTCCCAACTCCTCCTCCACCACCTCTTCTTCCTGCTGTTGTTCCATTTTTTTGGTGTTTCCGTTATTTTCCTTTTCTTGTAATTGACGAGTGTTCTTGTAACGAATCGTGTCTGTCTGAATTTCAGTTCATCGTAATTTTCTTCTTTATCAGAAAATTACTTTCTGTTTATCTTCTCATTCGAATTAAGTGAAGGTTCCTTATTTGTCTAGAAACCTAATGAGATTCTAAGCCAACAAGTTAATTATAACAATATATAACTCAACAAATTAATGGTCCCTCATAAGCACCATTTTCTCAACCAATGCGATTCTGAGTTTGTCTAGAAAACTGATGCCCTTGACTTTATAACGTTAATTAATTAGAAATGATATATACCCTTTCCATGGTATAACATAAATTCTTTTGATGATCAGGAAAAGGAAAAAAAAAACATGGCTGAATCTTCCACCAAAAGAGACTCCAGTGCAGAAATAATTGCACTAGCTAGAGCTAAGGACGATAGAAGGAGTAACACTAGTAGGGAGGGAGCTTGTCGCATGCATGCACTATCACAGACGCAATCACACAGAGGAAGTTTCCTCTTGTTGTAGTAGACTTGTAGTTTAGAGAGAAGAAACTGTGGTTGAAGATTGGGAGTTAAGAGAAAATTAGGAGATATCATTCTTATCATGACTTCTATGGCTGATATCTTTCTCTATGTCAACATACATAAGCCAACGGTTTTCACAGACGTCGTAGTGTCGTCCCCCACAGCTTTAATGGCATAAAGTGTATTGGCTTTTGGCGTTCCTCCAGGGATACTGAGACTTGCCAGCTGTAAAACATAAGAAACAAGGAAATTAAAAAGGGTTACCATTTATTAAAGCTTACTTGGATAGTTGGATGTTGTCCAACAATGGAGTGGATCTATACCTCTGTTCTATTTTGCACGTCCGAATATTCGAAGGCATCATCGATCAGTTACTCAATAATACTTTCCTAGCTAATTCCTGTTGTTGAATATATATGCACTCAGCTCAATATAATATAAGTACGAGAAAAAGTATTATGTTTTAATTAAAAACCGATCACTCCTTATATCAGCAGATATATATTTTTGATGAGGCTTGTGGGAAAGATTATGATTTTAAATTTTCTTAATTAAGTAAAGTTTCTTAGAACCTACCGATGATAAGATGCCTTATCATCAGCTATTCCTTTCTTTGAATGTATTAATTTTATGTTTGTTATTAATTCATTGTCGTGGACTTTGGGATGGTAGAGACATTGCCAAACATTGTCAAAGAGAAAGGCTTTTTTTGTTAGCCTCCCAACTGGGTACATCAGCAGAAGTTTTATTCTAAAACTTCAGAGGCAAGTCTTGAACCCCCATCTGTGGAATCAGCTTTATAAGGGCTTTAAAAAGCATAAAAACATTGTCTATAAACAGTTTGATGAAAGTTTTAAATGTGAAATATACCTAACTTTAAGTGTTATAGAACTGCAAATGCAATTCTTGTTAACACCCTGCACTGAGCTAGTTTTGATGTCCTCGTGCTCTAGTTAGACTTGTCAGAGTCCATTGTTCCTGGAGGACAGCTTCTCCTTTTGCACCACAAGTCACGTGAACCCTAAACTGGGCATTCTGTCCTAATGCCCATCTCTACTCTCATGGGTGTCCCTATACTACACACCTGTCTGTATTGTCGCTGTGTGTCATTCTGTCCTCTTTCCTTTGACGCTCAGAGAAGTGTCTGTTAGTTACAACTGTAGCGTTGAAGCATAGTTTTGCTCAAACTATATATTGTTCAGGAGTACAAAAACCAGTGACCCAAATGATAACCTCTCTGGTTTATAAAAATAATCTTGATAGCCCATCCCAATCGTGGACGTCTTATCATCATCAGCTGCTTGGCTTGACTCTTCAGAAGTTGTGTGGATGTGAGTGGATGAAGGTCAGGAGGTCTGTATATGTTCTGTATTCATCGATCCCTTTGTCCAACTATGCGAATATTCTTATTCATATAACATATCAACCCAAACTAATCACTGTATGCTTGAGAAGATATTTATATATTGGTTTACAGACAAAGAAGAATCTAACCAGCATTTGATCAAGCAGTGGTGATATAAAATCCCAGATAAGGATTGGTTGTGTTGATGAGCAAATTCGAAGGATATATATCGGAATTATTCAGTTAAAACATGCCTTTATTAGCTTTTTTCTCAAACAATATAAACCAAACAGAGGCTTCTCGATCGTTTTTAATTACTTTGGAGCTACCATTTGAAGAGTAGATCACAACAAATATTCACATGCTCCACTGCTCAAAATCTGTCTTTTTTTCTAGTACCAGATCAGCATTACTCTTCACGTACGTGGGCTAGAGCTCCTCTCTCAGTCTCTCCATTGCCGAATGCCAAGCCAATATATTAAACTGTACGATTAAAGCTATGCCTCAGAAAGTCTGAAGATCTCTATATAAATAGAGCACCAACCAAATCACAAGCAGAAGCAGAAGCAATACCGACCAACGTATAACAATCCTTGGTGATCATATCAAAGATGCTTCACATTCTCTTCTTCCTTTCTCTTCTCTTCTACGCCTCTAATGGCGCAGTACAGGACTTCTGCGTTGCAGACCTGACTGCTCCTGAAGGCCCGGCGGGCTACTCCTGCAAGAAACCGGCCAAAGTCACAGTCGACGACTTTGTGTTCTCTCTAGGCACTGTCGGCAACACTTCAAACATCATCAAAGCTGCTGTTACCCCAGCTTTCGCAACCCAATTCCCAGGAGTTAACGGACTTGGGATCTCCATGGCTCGTTTAGACCTTGCGCCAGACGGGGTGGTTCCAATGCATACTCACCCTGGTGCTACAGAGGTCCTCATCGTCGCCCAGGGGACCATCTGCACCGGATTCATTTCTTCGGCCAATTCTGTGTACCTGGCGACACTTAAGCAGGGAGATATAATGGTTTACCCTCGAGGATTGCTACACTTCCAGATAAATTCTGGCAAGACTCCTGCTTTGGCTTTCGTTAGCTTCAGTAGCGCCAATCCCGGCCTCCAGATCCTCGACTTCGCCTTGTTTGCCAACAACTTGCCTTCTGCACTGGTTGAGAAGACTACTTTTCTCGATGATGCTCAGGTGAAGAAGCTCAAGGCCGTACTTGGTGGTTCAGGCTAAGCTCGCTCGCCCAAAATCCTTACTTGTTTGGTCTTCTACGTTAATTTCTTTGTTGTCATTGGCTCATTAATTTCTTTTTCCAAGGCTTTTTGTAATGAACCGTTGCTTTAATTTATGGAAGTATGATCTTTCGTCTTTGCTCTGATCCATCAGAGACAAGAAATTACGTGATAGTTCTTTAATTAGCTTCTAAACTTTGAATCGTTGCATTAGCTCATGAGCCTTTTTTTTTAAGAAGTGAAAAAAATTATATACATTGGGCCAAGCCAATCAAGTCAGTTTCACCCTGGGTTTGAATGTTTGGTTGCATACGTACATGGATAAGGAAGGATTGGCTTCTATTTTGCATGTCAGAATATTCCAAATTTGATGCGCAGTGTTTGGATGCAACTTGATTCATGAATGCTGGTCCTACTCTGTAGAGCTGATGAGAGATCTATTTGTGGTACCACTAATAATTTGCCACGTGGCTCTAGTGATTGAAGCAACCAGTCAAGAGTAGACACGTCAACAAATAAAATTTAGAAATTGTCTAAAACTCACCGTGAGTTTTCTGCATTTCTCTTAAATTCGTCACAACTTTTTAAAATGTCTAAAACTCACCATGTCACTAACTTGACGTTAAATAGACTAACAGGTGTTAATATATTACTAATTTTATCTTCATAGATAAATATAAAATATATACATATATATTTTAATATTTAAACATGAAAAAACAAAAAAAGTTCAAAAAATATTTTCAAATATAAAATACATAAAAACATAGAAATTATAATAGAATATAAAAATTTATAAATATTGCAAATAAAATAAAAAATTATTTTCAAATTATAGAAACTATAGAAATTGAAAAACAAAATCAGAAAATAAAAATTGTAGAAAAAACATAAGAAATTATAGAAAAACATAGAAATCGCAAATAAATACAGGAAAATTTATAGATTGTAGAAAATAGAAAAATGTAAAAAAACAGAAATTATAAAAAACATTAGAAATTATAACAATGCACTAAAAATGTAAAAAAAAAGAAAATGAAAACTAAAAAAGACAAAAAAAAACTCGAATAATATAAAGATTGGATAACGGTGCACCCTTTTCCTCTAACTCACCATTTAAGGGTTTGGTCATGAAAATTGTTGTTTATACTGACATGATCACCTCTTTTAAGAAGCATTGACGGTGCACTAACGGAAGGTGAATTTTGGAAAATATAAACTTACTGCCATGGTGAGTTTTAAATATTTTGAAAAGTTGTGGTGAATTTAAGAGAAATGCTGAAAATTCATGATGAATTTTAAACAATTTCCCTATTTAAATGGACCAATAAATACAAATAGATAATAGAACAAGAAAGTTAGAGCTTATATCCATTCTATCCAAATCTCTCTGTGACTCTGTCATGTATTCCTTCTCATATGTGACATAATATCAAACCACTAGAGGAAAATTTGCAATCTGGATCTCTGCTAGTAACAAAAAATGCTAGGTACACATGAGAAACACTGCACTACTGTTATCACTTCACATATGAGAATTATTCAACTAGAAAAATGCATATGGAAAAGGTAATTGAATTTGATGAAAGCAACAATTTGTATCCATCAACCCAAAACAGTTTGGTTCAGTTTGGGAAGAGTACAAATACAAATATGCACGGTGTAAAACATTATTTTAGGTATTTCTAACCTTACATTTGTAATTGCACTATTCCCAAACTTAGCCTATGTAGAGACAGTAAAGGTACCGAACCTCAGTTATACATGGTGATCATCCATGTATCTAATTCGTTTAAATTTCTTTTTGAGCTTGTATTTTCTAATTTCTTATGTTTTAAACTTTTTATCAATGTATTTTATATTGTCAGAAAATTTTATATTTTTCCCAGGTTAACTTTGTTGAATCGTGTAGTTTTCCCCTTTTCCGTGTGTGTTGCAAGCGATTGATTCAACCGAATCATGATCCGCTAGACTAAAAGCATTCTCAGAGTGTTCAAGAATTTACTTTCGACATGTATTAGGAATTTTGGATTTCGAATGGACACTCCTTTAGGCCCAAATGGAGGTACTCATTTCATGTTGGCCCATAACTCTGGCCTGCAAATTGTTCAACTTGGGCCTAAATTTTGTGCTCAGGCCTGGCCCAGTACATTATGATGTGAAACATATAATATATTGTATATAGTATATCTTAATATAATATATTGTAAAATATTATATATAATATATTTAAGGTTGAAGGCCTGGCCATGATCACTCTTCAATCTAGTGTGTTTTCTTTTTCTTTTTAAATAGGCGAAAGGTTATCATAATTGTTTAGCCAAAACAGAATTTACAATATGTTCTAGCCATTCAGATGGTCTATCCCACCTGACTTCAGAACTCGATCAAATATCTACTATCTAGGGATATAACTACAGCCTACAGGAAACAAAATTAAAAGAATAATCAGATCTAGACATCAGTCTAGGTTGGCGGAAGACTAATGTAAACCGCATTTCTTGATTAGTTAAATTAGACAAGGGCTTAGAAAAATAAATGGTAGTTTATATTTTGCATATTTTTATTCTCAAATTATTATTTTAAGTGTTTTACCCTTAATATCAATGCATTATTACATTATTATTTTAAATGTAATGCTTACTATTATAAGTATGCCCTTTTTAATAATTTTTCCAAAGAGGCGATATCGATATGGAAATTCAGCTGGCTGTGCAGCCAATAATAACACTCCACATCAGTCATAAAATACATAGAACCCACAATTATTCAACCTCTCAATATGGGCTTCATGTATTTTATCACTGGTGTGGAATACTATCATTAGTTCTACAGTCTGCTACACAGCTAAAGTGTTCAGCTAACCCTAATTTCAATATGAAATCTCTTCCCTAAAAAAAAGAAAAAAGAAAATCTATATAGGAAGATATTCCCAATATGCGAGTAAATGGCAATGCTTTCAATCCGGACTTACCAAATAGAACCACCACAACTAGTCATTCAAAAACATTTTTTGCTGGTGAATTCATTTATTTGTTGACCTTGCCCTTTGATTTTAATCATGTAAACGGTTCAATATATATTTTTTTTTGGATTTTTGTTTTTCCTTCACGTATTGTGATGTATGATAAGTTTTGGGGTTCGACTATGATATGTCCGAAAAACAGTTGACCAATAAATTGGAATTATAAACATGGTGGGGAATAAGGTGTCATTTATAAGTTTATGGGTATTCCATCTGTTCAATTGTATTCCCGAAATTTATAAAGAAAAAGGTTTTTAACTATATGCCCATTCATTCTAACTGAGTTAGTTGCAGGGTGGACGGTTGCATGTCTATCAACCATGTGCATCACTGCCACTTGCTCTTCCCCAAGTGTGATTATTTTCTTAATCTCCTCACCTCTTATACTTAATCACTTTGAGATTTGTGCATTTTTTTAGAAAAGAACAAAAACCCAGGTATATTCGAATAATTTAAAACATTTATGACTGGGATTCCAGAGAACCCACCAACAGAGATATGCATTTTATTATACTTACCAAATGAGAAGGAATAATTTTATTATATTATATTAAACAAAACAAAAATTAAATAAAATAATATAAAAAAAAGTTTGAAAATTTGACTGCCAGACCTCCATGTGAGGAGTGAGGACCCTACGCAGACTGTTTGAGGTCCCACCATTGTAAACATTAAAAAAAAAAAAAAAAACTGATCCAATAAATAAATATAGATTTATTCGGATTCGTTGAAAGGCCACTGCACCTAAGACTGGCCCAACAATGGGCCCAAGACCATGTCAAGGTTTTGGTTTCAACTTTCAACAACTAGGACGCCACCGTTTGTGGATAAATGGGCCGCTGGCAAGGCCAGAGCAGCTCAAGCCCGGCCTAGAACAATCTGGATTCCGGTGGACATCTCTGACTGTCAAGTGTCAAATAATATTCCTCTCAAAGAGATATTTTAGGTGGTTGGGAATTGGGATCCAGTCCACCAAATGCCAATTTGGCATCCAGCTGCACAACCAACCACGACAAATGAATAATTGTTACATCCAGATATACAACGTTGGCTCTTCTTCATTACACAACCCATCAACCATAGCCCATTAATCCACGGATTGGCAACCCTCATTTAAATGGGCCCAAGTCTTTACCAAGCTATAATATATCTGATATTTACTCTATATGTTTATATTTGCACTCTTCTCAAACAGAGTTGGAAAACTACAGATACAAATACACTTTTATGTCTGCGTTTGGAAGTGATACAAAACGTTATCAATATAAAAAGTTCATCGATGAGGTTTTACATAGAATCGTAAAAAGGTTATCATTGAGCTTTAAAAAGCATGTGGTTTTTATATTAACTTATTAATATAATATTTATATCGATAATCAATGTAAAATTTTACTTCTAGTAAAGTTTTATATCAACTTACAATATAAAATCTAAATCAGAGAAGAGTTTTACATTGATTTTGATTTACATTCTATCCAAAACGGCAAAACCAAACCGACGTTTTACATTCCTTCCAAACGCAGCCTATAGTGCAAATCAACCCTCAATATACAAAGTTTGGAAGTGTATCAAATCAACTCTCATCGGCGTATCAAATCAACCACTGTTGATTTCTGAAACCTCCGCCACAGTCCTTTACTCCCCAAGGCAAACAATTTTGCAGCTCACATCTTTGGCAAGAGATGGCAACTTACGTCTTACCTGTAAGCAGGGCAAAATTGTACTTGTGGTGCCATTAATTGCATCTTTACTACTTTAAAAAAATTGAAGGTATTGATTCGATTTCCATTAATCAATATAAAAAATCAATGGTTAACTGAACCGATAAATATAAATATATATTTTTATATATTTTATATATATAGAAATTTCTATATATTTTATATTATAAATTCATAAATATGTATTTATAATATTTATTATATATTTATATTTTTTTATAATATATATTATAGAAATTAAAAATAAAAAAATCGATAAACCAAACCAATAATTAACCGAACTCATCAATCGATTAATCGATTAATTTCGATTCAGTTTTGATTACCGATTTTCTAAAAATCGATAATAACGGTTCGATTAAAAAAACGGAACCGTGAGCATCCCTCCTTTTTTTACATACCAGTTGCATCACCTCACCTTGTCATCACAACGATGTCATCATTCTCAGTAGTTGTTCAAACACAGTTATCTCTCACCCAATTCGACAGTGGATTCCATCTCATAACCAGATTTCATTTCATAATTTAATGACCATAACACCCTCAATCTTTGAACAAATTTAAAGAGAAAAAAATAATGACAATGACAATATCATAGATGATGTGTCTAAAATTTTAATTAATTATCTGTATTTATATTATATAAATACAAATACTACGAGTTCTACATTTTTTATCTGGATATTAATTAATTAATTAATTAATTTAATAAAATGAGGACAAAGGATTCCCTTGTTTGGCTGGCAGAGAGAGAAAAAGAGAAAGAGGACAGACCTGGCCGTTCTCTCTCTCTCTCTCTCAAATGCCAGTCTGGACCTTTTCCCTCCAACCTCACTCCCTCCCTCTTTCCCACTACCTATAAATACTTGCGCCAACATTTGGTTCACATCTTCTCGAGTTGGAAGAGAGAGAGAGAGAGCGAGAATAAGGAGTGGTAACAGAAGCCTGCGTCCCCACCACCATTACCACCACATCGAAAGCAAAACCCTAGAAATACTCTTTCCAGCCAAATGAGTCTCTTTGGTCTTGGAAGCAGGTACGACAATGTCTCTCACATTATCGTTAATTCTGGTTTTCTTTGATTTTTTTCCCTTCATTCTTGCGGTTTTTCTTAATTTCGGGGGAATGATGACTCGGGGGATGCTTTCTTCGATAACCATTCACATTGTTTCTGATTGTTCGATGATGATCCCGAACATTTCAACTGTCTAAGGATCTGAACTTTGAATCTATCTAATTTTCTTTGCAGTTAGCACGTATTTCACGAATTATTTTTGAGGCCTTTTCCAGTGTCTTATTTTCCCCTGTACCACTCATAAGGTTAAGGTAAAATTAAAAAGGAAGAGTGGGGGATTAGAAAAATAACCTGAGGACATTTGAGCGAGGTGTTTCCTCTGATTGAAAGAAACTGTACTGCTTTGGAGCTTTGATCCTGTATATGACAACTAAATGTGCCACGTCTAAGTTGGCTGCCATGGACTTTTATGAACTCTTACATAAATTAGGTATAGTGACCACTCAGAGATAAGCTCATGAACATATTTGAGTTATAGCCTTTTTTGTTTTGTTTTATTTTGTTTTCATTTTTTCTTTTTGACTGGTGATAAAATGATCTGTGACGCTTTATAAGTTAAGCTTCTAAATCAGGGACCTACTTGCAGCAATAGGCAGTAAGTTTACTGCAAGTGAGCATATGAAAAATCAAGGATCTCGTTCTGTTTCCCTGATAAAGGACGAAAGATCATTTGGGCCTTCCGTTTTAATTGATTTGGTATCATTAGGTACTGCAGAAAATAATGAAGATCCAACATAATGTGTGAGGCAGCACGGGTTACTATTTTGTGATGTGCAGATGGCACTGCTTTGAGCTAGCTTTACCATGAGATATGAGAAGTTTCGTCTGGCAAACTAGCTTGTGATCACCATGAGGGTTTTGAACCTAACAAATAGGTGGAGCTAATGATGACAATAAGTTGCATACGATTCAGTGTTGGGCATGTGATGAAGGTTACATGGAAATAAATGCAAGCAATTTTATTTCTTATAGCATTTGGAAAGACCAAACGAATATCTCCAACTCCTTGTGTTAGGATGAAATAGAACAAATTTAGGAACCCTTGTAGATTATTCTATAAGATTAGGTAGGTGAGATCTTTATTTAGTTTAACCCTTCTTCCATTGGTTTTGATAGACCTGTGCAACTATTGATAACCTGCAAGAGGGGGAGTATTTGAAGGAGTTGTATCTTATTGAGCTAAGAGTTACGTTGTACATTTTGTATGGAAACACTTTTACAGGGCTTTGGACATCTAGATTCTTTCGGATGGAGTCTTAGGCTTCATTCTTACACTTAATCATTGTCTTCTTTTAACAAAAGATACTTATAATTGTCAGAAGACTCAGTACACAAAAAAAGGAGGTATCTCAATTTCAATAATTGGTTAAATAAATGAATTATTTTAAGGGATCATCATTTCCTTGATTAACATTGCAATAAGGTGTAAGAAGTTTAGTCATCCTCCATGTTTTGGGTATGTTTGTCAGACATAAATTGTGAAGTCAAAGCTTAGTGGACAACCTTGAAATCACTGTAATGAGGTTAGTGTTTTAAAAGCAAGAGGTGCAACAAAAAGCTCATGGACTTCCAAATGCCTGAGGCGCAAGGTAGAAGGTAAGGTGTGCACTGGAATAAAGCAAGGCATAACTTTTCAAAAAAAGTGAAAAACTTGACGTATAAGAAGATGCAAATATGGGTTCTTTATCAAATAGAAAGAAAATAAACCTCCATAATAACATGATGTGATAATCCATAGTCATATTTCATAAAATATCTATAATTCAATAATTATAAAATGTCATAATCCAAATACATGGAAGACAGAAATCCAAGAAAGCATTAAGAAGATCAAAATCAAAGTTAAGTTTCATAATAACCATAGAATATGTAAATCATAAAGGAGGAATAGGAGTAGATCCCTTGTTTTAGTGGACCTCTCCTCTAGTGAGGAAAGAAAAAAAGGGAAAATTATATATACTCGTTACAAATATGGATATTACCAGAGTGCTTCAAGCATTCAACAGTACAAGCCTTTGAAACTACCAATGTATTTGTTTTGTGTCCTAGTTGCATCGCTACAAGTAGCTAGTGTGATGTTAGGTATCTTGTATTCCTAACTCTAGGAGCTTGTGGCCTTCACAGAAGCAAAGGGCCAATAAGGAGTTGGTTTTTTGTGATTCTGGAAAGGGAAGCTTACAAAAAAGCATGCACCTAGGATGCCTTTTATCTCAGCCTAGGTATGCACCTTTTGAAAGTGGTGACACTTGGGTTCATGCGAGGCACATGCTTAGAGTGTGACCCATATGTGCACCTAGGTACATTTGTGCCTTTTAAAACATTGAATCAGGTAAGCAAAGGGAGGCCCATTTTCTTTACTACTAATATACAAACGGTAATTCTGAATTTTTTGAATTGATAGTTAATGAGATAACACTGATATTTTTTATGCTTACTTGTTTGTGTGTGTTGATTATGTTTTTATATGTATACATGGGCTATTAAAACTGGTGGATATGAATGTTTTTGCTGTTATTTTTGTTCTAGAGCATTGTTTCTCTCACAGATTTTCTATTTGAAATGAACAGAAATCAGAAGACATTTCGTCCGAAAAAAAATGCTCCTTCAGGAAGTAAGGTTAGTCCTTAGTTGTCCAGTTTTGTTGTTTATCTCTTATCTGTTTCGTAGTGTTCCCTTCTTTTTTATATTGCACTTCTTAATTTTTATATGCAGGGTGCCCAGCTTCAAAGACACATTGATGCTACCTTGGGTAGTGGTAACCTGAGGGAAGCTGTAAAGCTACCTCCTGGAGAGGATCCTAATGAATGGCTGGCTGTAAACAGTAAAGATCTTGAACTTATTCTGACTGAAGCGTAGTATTGCTGCTACTTCATAAAGTTTAGTTATAATTTGTTTCTTTATCACATGCATCAAGTATGAGCTGCTCTAGTTTTCTTCCAACTTCTGGTAATAGCAAATAGTCTAGGTCTTACTATATTAGATATTTAGGTGATTGTGCTTGAAGAAAAGGCATTCAGTTACCAATTTTATTGTTCCAGTGCCAGTGTTCACTTTGTCTGGTTTAGTCTCTATTATTTTTTGATAAATTTCTGCATATAAATTTTAATACAGCAAGCTTTTATGTTCTGGTTTATCTTATAGGAAATTAGGAACTTATCCATTTACTAAGTCCCTTGCTGATGTCTATGGGTCTGATTGAAAATTGGAATTGTTTTATTCTTTGCATTCTGAATGTTTTTCTTTGTTCTCTTTCTTTTTCAGCTGTAGACTTCTTCAATCAAGTAAACATCTTGTATGGCACTCTTACTGAGTTCTGCACACCATCCAACTGTCCAACAATGAGTGCAGGACCAAAGTATCTTTCTTTCAGTCCCTGCCTAATTTTATTTTTGCTTTTAATTATATGAAAGCAGGTCAAGTTAGATAATTTCCTGTTAAGATTCTATTCCCTACTAAATATTTGTGTGCATGTTTCTTTGATGAACTAGTTGTCAAATAATATCCACCTCTTGACAAATTTCACAGTGACAACTGGCAACAATATACCATCAATATAACAAAGATCCAACCACAGATATGATAACACAAGGAACACATTCTACCAGACAATTCAACATATCAAATACCCTGCTGACACACAATAACAAATAAAAATAAATGGACCTTAGGCAAGACAAATACTCCCCCTTAATAATCAAAACTTGTAGTCCTTCAAGTATTTCATTGAACACATGTGGCAGAATGGATCTCAATGCTAGAATCAGTTGGTCAATTAATCAAACATCTTGGTGCAACATGTGTAAAACTGGCACTGTAATTTTCTCATTTCCAAGTAATTTACTTTAATTGCGTCAAAATAACAACAATTTAAACTAAAAGAAGTGTATAAAATGAAAAAAAATGTCCAAGCTGTGGCCTGTGGTATGGTCTGACCACTCAAGTGATTATTGTACCCACTAAGACTAGGCTTAATAAGACTGTTAATAAAATATTTTGATACTTTCTGATAAACAAAAAGGCTAGAAAAAGGGGGAAGGTTTAAGGATGTAATTCATTTCAACCATGAGGTTTTATCTTCCAATATAGTTCATACACAGAACAAAATGGGTTCCCAAGCTTATGACAAGAATCAAGTAACAAATTCAACTCAAATTTACTCCCCATCAAGTGGTGCAGTCATTTGGTAAAGAAGAAAATCAAGGTTAAGATCATGTTAATAAGTTTTAGCTAAAATGTAAATAAACATAAGTGCCAACATAATCCTGTAATTTGGACATCTTCTTTTATGTATTTTGTTATATTTTCTAAAATTTTCCCTTTAGGATGTTTTATTTCCCCACACACTTCTTGAAGCATGGCCACTTAATTTTCACAATGAATGTATAACTGCAATTTATCGTTTCCATAGACACAAGTATCTGAGCTTTTATACATTTTCAATGCAAGTGCTCTAAGGCAACTGGAACTCCTGCAGGTACGAATATAGATGGGCTGATGGAGTTCAAATAAAGAAGCCCATTGAGGTTTCTGCACCAAAATATGTCGATTATTTGATGGACTGGATTGAAACTCAGCTTGATGATGAATCATTATTTCCTCAAAAATTGGGTATGTGAACTTTACGTAACATCTTACCAAAATCTAAAATACCTTTTTTTTTCACGAGAAAATCAATGCTAATTGGTTATCCTTTCACAGGGACACCATTTCCTCCAAATTTCCGAGATGTTGTTAAGACTATCTTCAAACGACTGTTCCGGGTATATGCCCACATCTATCACTCACATTTTCAGAAGATTGTGAGTCTCAAGGAAGAAGCTCATTTAAATACTTGCTTTAAGCATTTTATTTTGTTCACGTGGGTAAGTTCTCATTGTTTTGTGTTTATAAATGTTATTATAATCATCTCTTTGCTCAAATGGCTCTTAGTAAGATTTTTTCCTCGTGTTCTTGTTTTGATGTTTAATCGAGTACATGCATTCCATGGAGATGTTTGGCCTCAAACTGTTTTACAAAACAACATGAAACAATCTTTTACATTGACTTAACAATATTATCAGGTCATAACTTTGCATATGCACGTGTGGATAGCTAGATAAATAGCTTGCTGGGTCTTTCTTCCATTAAAATTAGCGAACAAGTCAACCTAAGCTGAATAATTTTTTTTTTTCTTTAGTTGGTGGGGTACCTTGCCAAATAATATAAACCATTTAAACATTGATGCCACTGTACATGCAAATCATTTTCTCTGCTTTTCAGTGTGATTTGAACGCTCATTTAGGATGATTTTTCCATTGTGGCAGTTTTTGTTTCCAAAAACAAATAAAAAGGGGGGAATTCCCGATTAGTACCCTGTACTTTGGGCCTAGTGCCATTTTGGTCCCTGAACTTTAAAACACAACAATTCAGTATCTAAATTTTCAAAACGTGCCAATCCAGTATCTGCCGTTAATCAGCTGTTAAGTGGCATTTGAAAAGACACAAATGCCCTTTGAGTGTCATCTAATTTTCTTTATCAACCATCCAAATGTTGATAGAAAATGAACAGTCTCAAATCCTTGTCTCTTCTATTCAAAAAAGTTGGGGTCACTAGAATGCCCATTGAGATGTGACCCCAACTTTCTTGAATAGAATAGGCAAGGATTTGGGACGGTTCATTTTTTGTCAATGTTTGGATGGTTGATAAAGAGAATTAGACAACACTCGAAGGGCATTTGTGTCTTTTCAAATGTCACTTAACGACAGGTACTGGATTGGCACATTTTAAAAATTTGGATACTGAATTGTCGCATTTTAAAGTTCAAGGACCAAAGTGGCACTAAGCCCAAAGTACAAGGTATTAATCTGGAATTTTTCCAAAAAAAAAAACACACATATTGATGAGCATCCCCCCCTCCCAGCTGTCCTTGGTTTAGAGTTGCTTTTTGGTCAAGCAGTGTTCTAACAACAAATGAGAAATGTATTAAGCGTAACAACTAAAGTGGCGTTTGGAATGGCTGTGATGTGTTCCATTGTATTTGTACTTGAGGCTCAGTTTGAAAAGAGTACAAATATAAATATGTACAGTATAAACACATACAAAATACAAGGTTTTGCACTTTACATATTTGTATTTGTACTCTTCAAATACAAAATACAGGGTTTTGCACAAATCTTGTTTGATTGGGTAAAGTCAATTGTTTGTACTAGTCTACATTTGCATAGAATTATGAGCATAGAGGTGTTGGCGAAGCTTCAAAAAGTTGTTTCCCCCCAGCAGAAGGGCATTTCCACTTCGGGTGTCCTATGTGACGACTAGTGGAGCTCAAGTTGCATCTATGTTTCCAAAACAATTATAAATTATTATGCATTGTATCATGTACCACAACAGTTCAATTGCAAAAAAGAAGCAAGTACAAACAACGAGACTTGAAATGGAGCCATGCCAACACCCACCATAATCATTTTCCTTGCCAGATACAGATGGTTCGGTGAGGCCCTCCAGGTCTTCTGCCACCTAAACTAGTAAACTACCCAACTAATTATTGTCGAATTTGCAATTGAGAATACAAGGAATCATGCTTCATGGACGCCTGGTTGATGCAGGAATTTCGTTTGATCGACAAAGGGGAGCTTGCACCTCTTTATGACCTCATTGAGTCCATCCTTTCGTATTGAAAGATTCTTCTTGTTGGAGATGACTCTGGTTGTAGCTGGACGCTGTGAATAATGAATATCCCTTGTTTGATATTGCCAAATTTATATTGTGTGGATCATCATGCGAAATCTACAGTCTTGTGGATTAGTTTGTAATCTTCATTCATTCGATTGTTATTTTAACTTTTACCTACACATCTCGGAGAACAATTTTGTTTGGTCAATTGATTGACAGAAGACAAAATCTCTGTATACATGTATACATGCATGCATCTCTCTTGTGGTGTACATATGATACGTCGCGCAGGGAGGCATTCATATTATGATATTTAGGTATGAATATGATAGCTTGGGGACACAAGCAATGTTAGTCATAATCGCATTGGTTAAGATGGGCTGGGGTAGGAGATGGCCATTGTTTTTTGGGTGCATCATAAATCAACCATGACTGTAGTGGCTTATGGGTAGCAAAATCCGGGACTCGTGAACCACAAATTGGGGGAGTTTTGTACGATTTTGGATATGCTGCAAACACAAACATGTGTAACAGATTATATAACCAATGTATTCTGAACATAATCCAGATCTACTACCAGCATTTTGGTGGAAACATTGCATCCGACATGATTTATAGCTGCACGTCTCAAGCATGATTTGTCTCGGTGTCTCCACGATTCACTCCCACCAATGACAACACACATGTTGAAAGAAAAGTTACTACCGAGTACAGACATGGTGATAGCATATCCAGAATTCTAGATTCAATTGTGGTGTGGTGCATCACAAAATATTGGGATTCAAAATGTGTTTGTTTTAAGGTTAGGCGTATTAAAAAAACACACAAAGCCCAGAACAGTGTGATATGGGTTGGGAACAATGAGAAATGAAGTGTAAGAATAAACTTATGATGATTTTAAAACATGTATTGCCAGTTGTAAAATGAAAAATAGCTTGAAAGAAAAGCAAACACTGTGATGTAATAAAACCGGATGAAGCACAAAAATAACATTGTAATTTGTAACGAGCACCACCTTAATAAGACTGGACAGATCATCCGTGTTAACTAAGTGGGCTGCGTTGTTTGCCTTGTGCAAGATAATTCTCAAACGAGCATCACCTTAATTGCATGTTTTAAGCATAACAACCTGCAATTATTTCATTTGAATTTGTAGTGTCCTGAAATCCAAAGTGAAACTTCGTTCTAAGTTGAGCCCTATCGCATCGCCCAACAAGTCAATTGTAAGCTGCATTTCTTATTATGCTTTCGATTATCGTGTCAGTTCTCTTAAATGAAAAAACCTAACGTCATCAAGGCCGGTTTCAAGCTATAGAATTAGAAAGCGTAATCACGTTCCAGGATTCTAGCTCTTGATCAAGTCTATGAAAACAAAACCTTGAAGTGGTTTGCAATAACAAGAAAAGACAAATTCCAAACAAATTTCATCTGATTAATCACATGATCTCCTTAAATATACCCGTGTTGTAATAGAATGATATACAACCCAGTCAGTTTGTGTCACTTTTTATCCCCCATCAATTAACCAAATTTCATGCATATTTACCTAAAAACGTACATAGAATTACATGATATAGAAGACCAGAAAGAACCCAACCTCCATGTTGCTTTCTGATGTGAAATTCTGTGAAGAAGAGAATCACAATGTTCCAGTGCTTTGACTTGATTACATTCTTCCCTTCATCCTTCAGAAAGATAGGGCCAGACCTTCTCTCATCTACCTCTTAAACAAAATTGTCTCTTAAGTCATAACAACCACCCTGTATCAGTTCCACAGCCTCCAAGCGGTGGATTCCTTATAACTGGGGCATTTAAATCAAATGGATTGATGTCTATTTGAAGATGGAACTTTTGAGCTCATCAACATTGAGGATGATGGATCTGTATCTAATGCCAAGAAGTTTTCACTTCCCTTGGGTTGTAGGTAGCTTTACACCTTGAAAGAAAGTAGTAAAACCTGTGAGTCCACAATTTATCAATCATCGTTTGATGTTTTCACATATACACCCTGGAAGAGGGTTTGCATAGAAACTCTCCTCCAGCTTTGGAAATTCTCCAGGTTCCCTTAGATAAGGTGCTCCAACTCGGTCTTTATGAAGCTTCTTCACTTTCGAACTGAATTTCTTCCAAGATATCTTCCCTTCATCTAATTCATCAACAAGCTGTACAAAGTTCAGCCTGCATTAAGGGCAAATATGAACTTAGTATTACTAACGATTTAGCTTTTGAATTGAAAAAGGTAAAAACAGAAATACAAATGAAGGACAACTACCAAAATCTTTCAGCTTGCAGTTTTTCATGGCCATGCAAATATGTATACCAATTAGTCCTCCCTAAATGACCTCATTATTGTATTTCCTTTTTTGGTGTTGGTGATGCACCAATAACCCCCATAGGGGTTGTTTGAGTAAGCCCATCACCATACCCATAACCCCCCCCCAACTGACGGCAATGGGATTGGATCCCGTGTCTCAGATACAACCAGCCAGAAGATTGTACAAACTGAGCCACCAGTAGTGCTTCATTACTGTACTGTATTCAAACACCATAATAAAACAAGAATAATTATATAATAGCTATTTTCAAATGAAACTTCTTATGGTATATAAATAATTAATTATCTGAATTCATTACACTGCATTGCCGATTGTAAAAGTTAAAGCATTTATTCTATTTATTCTGAAAATATCTTCATTTGGTTGAAAATACTTAGTAATTACAAAGTGGCACTAGAGAACCTTAAACAAAAAAATAAAAACTTTGTGTGCATTTGTTGAAAATTTCCTCTTTTGGGTGGTTGAGTAGCTTTGGGTGCACATTTGGATGTACTCCCAACCCAGGTATTTCACAACTACCAGAGTAGGCCATTGAAATTTGTTGACCAATTTTAACTTACCACTAGAAAGTGACAATCCCTGATCACCTGGCAATTTTTCAATCCTTCTGTTAACTAAATTTTGATACTGAATTGTAAACATCCACTGATCAAAACAATTATCATACAGCATCCCTACATAAACTGGAAATTAAAAAGGAAAAAAAAAAGAGATTTAATTAGAATGGTTGATCAGAATAATACCTATCAGGACTGGTGGTTTTCTTGAAGCCTTCAAAGCGCCTATGACCTTGCACAGCCTTTGCCATATTACCATCATATGTATAGACAAAAACATCACTCTGAAGGGCAACAACATAGTCCAATCCTGCAAGCATGTTCTGATGGTTCTTGAAAGGATTCAGCTCTTCTCCCACTGAAAGAGTGGAATGGGTGTATATGTTGGGAAAGTCATCCTCAAGATATTGCATGCTTCCATTCCCATAAGCTTCACCAGCCACCAGGTAAATTGTGGTGCTAGGTGGGAAACCCAAACCTTTCAGCAGAAGTGAAGTCTCCCTTGGGGTCAGTGGACAGCCCCCAAGCTTCCTTCTCTCAGACCCATCAATCTCCTTTTCCTTCCAATGGCTGACTTCATAACGCATCCTCTGGAGCTCATTGTCTTCCTCCACTGTTAGGTTATGACTGCAGCCTGTAAAGGCTAGCATATCCTTCTCATACCTGAAAGAACAGAAGGAAACATATTTTAACATTAAAAAAGGGAAGAAAAAAATTCTAAAAGGATTTCCCTTTTAGGACATATCTTGATCATAGAAGCTCCGAGTAATGTAGAAATGACAGAAAGGACTGAACCATCTAGAGCTTGATGAATACTCAATAAATACCATTTAAAAAAATTCAATCTACCCCTCCCAAGACCCCAGATAGTTGGGACCAACATGGGGTAATGGCCTTTTTTTTAATGCGATGCAAAGAGAGACAATGAAATTTAGTAAAAGAAAACAACCACATTCGATGGGATATGTGATATATTTACCCTGAATCAATTCATTTTCAAATGTTCATGGTTTGATTATCTGGTTCAAATGAGAAATTTTATTAAGTTTATGACATTAAGGGTACAGGGCCAAGTTGCCAGTCTGACATTTCAACTGTTTGCTGCAGTACGGGTTCCAGAACGTTGCTTTTCACTCAACCTTTACAGAGGATGTTGAAATTTGACAGAAGTTAACTCAAGCATCCCCAAGTATTTTGGTCTCTACAAAGATTTCTGAACTTAATGTTTCAGTCATTTGTTTAGATCTGGGGAGTATATTGTTAAATAATCCAGTTTTTTTCTTTTTAAGGAAAAAGATATCTTGTATTAATTGATAAATTTAATTAGCAGTATACAGATCTTAGCCAGATCCAATCTCTACAATTATCTTACGAGTACAAATTAGCCCAAAATAATTGCTCCCTTGATACCCCTTGCTTAGCCAAGGTATCTACGCAAGTATTTGCTGATCTGTTGACCCACTTAAATGTTGCGTCAACCTTTCTTTCTAGCCCCCCTGATTTCCCTCCTTTCCTGCTTATACACCCAAGGACCCTCATTGTTAGTCACCATCCAACCCGCTACCAACATGGAATCTCCTTCAACCTCTATTTGTTTCATATTCATCTGCCTGGCTAATTTTAAAACTTGTAGGAGAGCTGTAATTTCTGCTTTCGGCAAGTTTTCCTAGCCTGAGTAGAGAGACAATATGGATCCCCTTCCATCTCTGAATACTTCCCCCTATACCTTAGGGACTAGGATTCCTGTAAGAGCTTCCACTGAAATTCCTTTTAATTCTATTGCATCTGGAAGGTACCTATACTTCTTGCACTGTCACCTTCAAGGTAGATGAAGCTGCTTTTGCATCCAACCCTCTAACGAAGTCATCCACCAAAATGACTTATCTTTGATTGAAGACTCAAAAATCCCTGTCTTCTCATTTGAACCGATCTGGATATCTTTGAGGATGATAACTATAACTACGTTACTATGATTTACAATGATGCTTTTGAAAGCCCAAAATGGCCTTGTCTTGATCTTGAGTCATAGTTGACCTAAACAATACATACAAATTGTTTTATTGGTTTTTATGTCAATCATTGGAAGTACATTGTTAACTTTGTATCACCAAATTTAAACTATATCATCTAACTTCTTACGTGAAGATTCTATATTTATATTATATTGACTTTACAATATCATACATGCATATATCCAACAAACATGCATTTTCTTAAACCTGCAAATTTTGACTTAGTAATCCTTCCTTTGAGGGTTGGGAGCAAGTTGGGAAGATTAATATAGCTTACCTCAAGTGCAGTGCAATATAAGGGCCCCCATTCTGCCGCAACCTTGAAACCAAGGTGTTTCCTAGTTCTTCAATTGGGGCCGAATACTTCAATGCCCTATAGTTCACACGACACCTCAGCTTTTGTAAAGAATTTGGGAGTCCATTGTTGGCAAGTCGGGAATCAGAGTGAGTAAAGTAAAGAACTTTGTGCTGCTTCAGTAGAGGGAGGACCTCAGTTTTGTAATAACTAACCTAAAACAGAGCAACTGAACTGATTTAGATAATGTCATTTCCAGACAGGCCAACAAGGATATAATATACAACATAGGATGTCAACAATCAAAACCATGGGTGCTGATATATTGGTTTTTCACAGACCAAATGGTTTATGTGTATGTGCCCATAGATTGAGTTTGCTCAATCAATTGCCAACCTCCTGTATGGTGATACCCAAGATTTACATCAATCAGAGAATCCTACCATCTAGGTGGTGAAATCTTTCTTGGAATACTGCACATACTTTGTTTTTTTAATGATTTTTCTATTCTAGTGCTTGACATTGCAACAAGTATTAACCTTTGACCAGGATATGGGTGTCTTTATGAAAGGTTCAATTTCAGCATAGGCAGGTGGTAGTGTCTCAACAATGTGGATATCATTCTTCAGTGTCTCAATGAAGTGCCTCCAATCAAACAAATCCTTGAAGCCACTGTAAGTACAAAGGCATGAAAAATATATTAGACATGCATTAAATTCCTATGCTGCCTACAATCCAGAAATCTTATAAAATATGACAGAGATACAAAGTGTCACACATCAACCTGTAAAACTGTAAACTGATGCAGTTGTGAGGTATACTAAGAGGCATGTAACTTGAAAGATACACTTTCTTTGGCATGAGAACATATCCAAGCAAAGGATAAGTACAATCAAATAATTGGTGTATAAAAAGGAAGAAAATCCAATTAATTTTCTAATGGGCTAGTTAGGTTAATGTTAACACAGATGTCTAACATGGTAAAACTTAGTGACTTGGCAGACTACCTTTTTCAAGAAAAAATAACTGACTTGGTAAGTTGCTCTGAATTTTTCCCTCAACTTAGCAAGTTTCTTCAAGAACCAGGTGATCATATATATCTTTTTTCTTTCAATGAGTTTGTTTACCAACTAGACTATCAAAGAAAAAAAAAAAGATGGTAGGTTGACACTAAAATAAATGTCTGACATGGTAAAACTAAAAGACTTGACAAGATGTTTTGAATTTTCCTGAATTTATCAAGTAAACTATCAAACTAATAAAAGAAAAGCATATAGACCTAGTTGATCAGTAACAAAAATTTTGAAGAGCCTAGAAAAAGAGGTAATCAATTATCATTTATTTATATTGTATTGAGTTTTAAATTGGGTCAGATGTCAGATTTGGCAAAGCCTGAGAACCAAAAGCACAAGCAATATAACCAAAAAGGAGACTTTCCCTTTTACATATCATCTTTCAAATTATTTGTCTAGATACAAAGGAGTTCAAGAAGAAACCTCTGATCAGCCCAGTAGGAGGTATGATCAAGCGAAGGAAGGACAAGTGTTGCCTTCATGATCTTAGCAATTGCAACCATATCACAGATCTGCAGTCTAAAAATAGTTATTCATCAAAGAATTGTTGTTATTAATATTTCAAAAGAAGCAAACTTTATATCTTGAATCATCAAAATACACAATAGCCAGACCCCAAATCTCATCTGATTCAAGCCACCATTTGCGTTTACAAGGATATATCCATTTGTCTTTGCATCCAACTCTGCATGAGAGACACCACCCAGTTTACATTGTAGATATGAATGAGCGAACACATATACGTATGTATTTATGCATAATTTTCAGTTGCTTACTTTTTTGGCTTGCTGGCTGGTTAATGCACTGGGTGAAATTCTCGCTGTTTGGCTTGGACCAGATATCTAAATGCTAGAAGGAAATTTCAAGAATTAAGTAATTAATACGCTTCTCAAATATTCTTAAAGATTAGGGTGATATTGATAACCCTATTAAATGTGTGCTGCAATCTAGATATGAGACTTACTTCAACCACGCTGTTCTCACTATTGACTACACCTGATGCCACCATCTTTAGGGTTCGTTCAGCATCACTTCCACTCTCCATATGTTCATGTTCATGAAAGCTTTGAAACACTTGATTAGCAATGGAAATGTCAGATAGATCCTGGTCAATAAAAGATAAAACAATCACATAAGAAAACTGCAAAGAAAGCAAGAACAGTTAAGGCATGGTTGATGAAATTACATCATCAAAATATTTAAATGGATTTGACATCCACAAGGAATGAGGAAATGTTCACTTTGTGAAAGAACTACAAAGTTCATAAATTCTATATTCTACTAGAAGCCCCTTGAGGTCTTAGTAAATGGAACTTCAGACTAACAAGTGAATGGTTGCAGTCCACTTTCACTTGCTACCCATGATCTTACACTTCTCTAATCTCCAATTGCGGGAACGTTTTGCTGAAGCAATTTCCAAATAACTAATATCATTTTTGCACACAAACAATTTAGTACATGCCACAGTCTGGGGAAATTTTTCGTATTTATCTGTTTATTTCTGATCAAGTTCAATGTTTTGATGTTATTAGAGTTAACATTTAAATCATTACTTTAACTGAATAGTAGCAAGTCCATCCAAGGGAACATTCTGAATGCTTCATTCAAATACCCAACAAAGGGTATAACTGCACTTATGGAAAAAGTTGGGGATCTTTTAGATCTGAATGTGAGAAATCCAACCTCCTACAAACCACTGATGGAAAAAGGGTATAACAATTCAACCCATTTTCTCTCTAGTTCTGTTTCAGGCTGTTTGCACAACAAGAGCAAGAAGAGAGAAAGGAAGGGGGGGGGGGGTAAGAGAAAGAGAGAGATTAAAAGAATAATCCTTTAAATTGTTTTCTTTTTTCAACAGAAAACAAAAATTATGTCCACTGAGAAGCGCCTATTAAACATCCAGTTATTTTATCATTTCAGTGGAACACAAATCCCCCTCACCGGAAAAGAAAAATGTGTGCTTCTCCAACTCCTAATATATATGAACTTAAGGAAAAGAGAGAAGTTCCAATATTGCTGAAAAAGCCTAAATAACCAGAGCGCAGTCATCCAGAAAGCATTAAGGCATTTTATTGGCAAAGTTGCACAAAAAAAAAGAAAAAGAAAAAACAGAGGCTAGCTTTCCTCAATGAACCGGTCGGGGTTACCCACATCAGCAATCACGTAGCGAAAGACTCTAACAACTATTAATTGTCCAATCAACTTATAACAACAATTTTGAAACGGGAAAGAGGAAAAAAAACTTCCCCTCATTCAATACTGAATAGTCAAGTGCAACAATAAAAAAATGGGAAAATCTATGATATGGAAAAGATATGGTATGGAAAAAAAGAAAAAATCTAAGATTCTGTGTTATTGGTCAGTTGTTTTTCAGTTATCATATCTTTTCCATAGTCGAACCCTAAAAAAATAAAATAACATTCGTCACCCCTCAACAAGAGTATAATACATTTCTCAGAAATTGAACTATCAGAATCACAACGTAATAATCAAATAACCGAATATAAACCCATAAATTAGGAAACAAGGAAGGAGGCTCTTGAGGACTAACCTGGTACACCCCTGCTCTTTCAATTGCAGATCCAAACCACCCAGTTGCACAAATCTTTAAGACGCCCAAGAACAAGCAAAGACTGCAGAATAACAAGAACATCCAATGCCCCAATTTCTTCTTCTCTCGTAACCCAAAATTCACGACAATAGATCCAACAGGCTTCTTTAACAGATGAAGCCGCTGAAACTGATGAAGGGCTTGCTTCCTTTCAGAAAGTGAGTCCAACCCATCAAGCAAAACGGGACTGGGGGTGCCGGGGTTTTCAGATCTCGGAGAGTTGAGCTGGAGATCAATCTCGTGATAGGTTTTAGGATTGTTATTGTTGCTGTTGTTACGCTTAAAGGAGTGAGCCCTTCTCGTCATGGGTCCCGAGAATCTTGGGCTGTTAACTCTCTGAGAGACGGCATCACTGCTACTGTGATGTTGTGGAAAGCCCATTTTTGGAGAAGGAGAAGACGAGTCGGGCATTAACAGCAAATAAGGCGAATGGAGGATGTGACCATTAACGAACCAGTTCCGAGCTTTTCTTGCATTCTCCGATCCAGAATTTATTAAATAAACCTATTGCAACAAAATGAAGAGGAGTTTATATTGAAATTTACCAGTCACCGTTTCTTTTCCTCTTCTGAAACAGAACACCGGCTTATCAAAACAATCAAATTCAACGTAAGAGAAGCTGCTAGACGTCACTGGAATGGAATGAGCGCCGGAATGTTTTGAGCGGTTTTTTGTGCAAACACAGGGTAACTCAAACATTGATTGGCCCAGGTCATGGACCGAATTCATGGTATTTAAGGCACCATATTCAAATGCGTAATTGATCTACCCGTACGATTGACTCACGGCCATCTTCCACGAAGAAAGAAAGAAAGAAGGTTGAAAGATCAGCGAAGATAGACGTGCGAACACGCGGTATCGCCTTTCAGGTTCAGGGTGTCAATAGATTCTCATCAATGATCATACACACACAGAAAAAGCCCAAACCCCAAAAATAAATGATTAATGAATTAAAAAAAAAGAAAGAAAAAGACCAAAAAAAAGCGTCCGCCGGTCCAGTCGCCACCCACCAATTTGGACTTTCGACCAGTAATGAAGATATTACGCCCTCATATTTTTAACAAAATAACAAAGCAAGTGCAGAATTGGCTGAATTGGCTGAACAATGATTTATTAATTTTCTTTTCGATAAACAGAAACCCAATTTCGAGCTTAGCGCGTTCAATTATAACTGAAGTGGCTAAACTGATTGATTGATCTGATCGCCAAAGCGGAAATTGAGTTGATTATCATGCTCTTAAATATTTTATATCATTTAATTATCCTAAGCAGAGGAAGACAAATGAATAAGTCATTCAGTTCAAAATGTTCAATCACTTCAGCCATTGTCAAATACTGGAAGAAACGTTGACCACTTGACCATCCCGATGGAAAATATAGCCACGCCCCAAATGATGTCATGTAAATACATATAGGCGACGTGGCTTCGTTATTCACCGTTAAAGTAGATTTTTTCTAGTAACGAATTCGTTATTCTTCTTCTTCGGGTTCGTATTAGACAGTAGGAGTGTCCCTTGTTCTTACTTCACCCAGCCAATCTTAGGCGACGGTAGAATTAAATAGCGCTGATGATAAGAATGCCCAACCCGACCAAACCAGACCGACCCAATTCGAGTCGGTCGGGTTTTCATCAGTGCCGGTCGGTTTCGGGTTGGGAAAATATATAAATTGATATATCGGGTCAATTTCGATTTTCTTGTATGAAAACCAAAACCAATCCGACTCGAACCGAATTAGTTCCTAGTTTGAATAGTTTCCTAGTTAACTATAATTAGTCTTCTACTAGAACTAAAAGGCCCATTAGGCAATTACAATTAGAATAGGCAATCTATCATAGTTTCTAACTTTCTATAGTCTTTTACACCAAATAGGCAACCCATTAGGCAATTACAATTAGAATTCAATTAGGTGTCATTTTGTACAGGAGCAAAACCAAAATTGACCCAAACCGACCCGACCCGACCCGACTCAAACCAACCAGGTCGATTTAATCTATCAATGGGTCGGTTTTGGTTTCCACCTCAAGTAACCTGATCAGGTCGGGTCGGTTGGGAAAACCCCAATAAACCGACCCAACCCAACCCGTGAACACCCCTAGAATTAGACAACTTAGTTAGGAAAATTTGACTTTATTTCCAAATCATCACTATTCACTAATGATGGTGGGGCCCTTAAGTGGGATGCTTACCAAAACAATTTGGTCCTATTTATTTATTTGTTTGTTTTATTTTATTATAAAATCTTTCAATTTCGAGGAAAACCAAGGACTTGACCATGATTACGGTCATAGTTTAAATTGAATTATAATATGTATTGGATGTATTAGATGTACCGTATTTATAATGATTATATTTTTTATTTATTATACATTTTATAATTGATATCTCACACTTCCTTTTCTCACTATATATTATATTAGTTGTCCATTCTCGTTACAGCGAATTGGATGCAAGAGTCTTCAATTTGAGGTTCTAACCCTAACCCTAAACCAGTCATGAAATATTGAAATCCGATTGATCCTTTGGATTTGAATTAGAACCTAAGTACCTACCAAATTAATGGAATGCATAGCTAACACGTTATGATTGTTAATGCAGGCAGACTTATTACATTCAGAAATTGACAGATAAGTATGATACCGGGTTGATCATGTTGATGCTCTATACCAAATCATCATCCTCTCTCTCCTCCCCCTTGATATAGCTGTGTAAATAGATAGGGATATATCGGAAAGAACCAAACTGATCCAATTACTGGTATTTTATCTTTTCCATGGTATATTTGTAATATTATCACATTGTCATGTCCAAATATGAGTGGTTTATTGCCAAGTTATAGGTTAAAATTATGTGATTTACTTCACTCCTACCATGGTCCGATGAAACCTCTTGATTTTCATATCTAAACCCTAACTCCTAAATTAAACCCTAAGATAGTGTTTGGTTTGAAAGAAAAAGGTAGGAAAACCCATATAAATCTTGTATAGATTTCCTTACTTTTCCCTTTCATTCCTTTCCTTACATTTTCTTTCAAGCCAAACACAGCCTAAAGTTACAAATCCTACCATGTTTAGTTCGAAACTGATCCTGACCCTTTGACAGCACTCTATCACATAAACATACTTATATGCATAAATCATCTCGCATTATTGTAGAAAATTTATAATTATATGCATAAAAAATCAGGTTTAAGTTGGGTTGAGTTACCCATACTTTCACTGAATAATTGAATGAATTCACCTGGTTAGGCTTCTAGAGAAAAAAAAAAAAAAAAAAAACTGATTTTATATGGGATTGGCAATTTTCAACCCTAACTGGCTAACTCTAAATCAATCTTCAACTCAATCCTTTTTGGGTTGGGTTGGGCCCGGTTCAGCTTGATTTAATCCAAACTATAGCACTATATAGTCGTCGTCTTAACTGAAAAGAACAAACAAACCTATAGGCACAATTAAGATAAAAATATATAAAGTGTATCATATTGGTATTAGTATATCCAAATATGCTTAGATACATTGATATATAAATATTTAAAAATATCAAATCTCTTCCCTAACGGGCCTAACCCCTAATTATTTATAAAATAAAAAAACACGGGTATCGATTAATCCTTGACTTGATCATAACCTTCCAATCACTTTCGCTCGCTGAAGGACCGATGGTGCCCACTAGAACTAGAAGCTTTAAACCCCACAACTAATTTTCTTCACATTGAATGGACCTCCGATCTCATACGGAAGCCATGGATATCATCCATTTAAGTGGTTGGCCCACGAAGACCATTTTATTAATACAAGAAACGAATCGGATCAATGTGGATCTAGAGCCACCAATCATAGCCCTATCAATTATATGATTCAATTAAAAATCCACGTACATTCCATCAACAACGTGGGGCCACAGAGCTCGAATTATTTAATGCTTTAAGATATGGTTATTTATTTCTCTTCAACGCATTCAAATAGAATTCGGAAGCTATGAGTACTCAGTATTGATTTTAGAGGGCTTGGAATTAATAGTAACCTGTGTGAATTATAAAATACATAAAACCATAGTGAGAGATTGAATGGTTGTGAGACTCATGTATTTTATGAATTTGAATTAATTGAAGGCAATGACTTAGCTATGGAACTAAATCACCAATGATAAGGCTTAGTAATAAATTCATGAATCCTATTATAAAAAGTGTGGGCTCCATGTATTTTCTTACTGGCATGGAACCTCATCATTGGTTTTACATCTTGCTGAACAGCTATCGCATTTAGTTAAACCTTGCTTGAATTTTATAACTAATGGTCTGATATAGAGTATTATCAATTTATCATTGGTATCACACTCCACAGCCCACCATACAACGACCACATTCACATTCGGTTTCACCCTACAACAATGTGGCACAAAGAACTCATCCATTTATTCCATGTAATTAATTAAATAGAATCTCCATGACCACAGTGGCCCTGGGCCAGGCCCCGGCTAGCTTGATCGAGCTCACTTTAGTAAAGTCAGGCCAAGTCAAACACCAGACCTATTCCCGTTTCAATGAAGCATTTTAAGGATCAAACCAAGAATTTGAATCAGGTCCCAACACATTACACAGGATCCCAACAACCGGTCACAATAGCCTTTGCAGCTGTATATTAGAAACATCTAATTAAACATGAAGGACAAAGGAGATATTTCCTCTACACGGCTGTAAAAGCTGTTGTGATTGGTTGTTGGGACTAGATCCGGTCTCTCAAATCAATAGGTTAAATGCTCAAGGGAGGAATAATATGCATTTTATTTTTGCATTACAATAGAGGATAATGCTTCTTTAAGATTGAATAAAAGCAAACAAGCACCACCTATTCAATGGAGTGCCCTCAAACTCAAAGAATACTGTTCGAAGATTGTTTCTTTCTTTTCCTTTTCCTACCATTTCTTTTAAACCAAATACAGCCTTATTCTTTCACTAGAGACTTCAAAATGATGGGACATAGAATGCATCAGACAGTCTGTTTAATTTCAGAAAATAAAATTACTTATATGTTAAATTACTACATGACCAATTTTTTTGTAGATTAAGAACACCATCAACGCAGATTGGAGTTGGAGGCAAAGGTGTATCGATACTTAAAATAATGCATTTTTTATGTTTATTTTTAGTTTTTTTTTTCAAAATTTGCTTTATATTCACTAAAACGAGGGTTCCTAAAAGCACCTGTCGGGGGACCAAAAGATATGATACGATACAATACAGAACATATCAATATCAATAATTTGAACCTTGGATCCAAGGTTCAAAAAATCGTTACATCAATGCATATTGTATCAGCCCCTTCCCAATACGCCCTTACAGGGGTTGTATCAGGTCAGGGCCTGGTTCAGAGGATAACCGACACTTAAACCAACCCCTCTGAACTGGTATTGAAAAAAAATAAAACTTAAAAAAAAAGGTCGATACAGGGCGATACTTTGAACCTTGCTTGGACCCAACTACTTTTTTGGTTAACTGGCTGGTCCGATTTTAGAAAATTGCAGCAAATTACTCTGACTTGACTATATTATAGTTCAAAATGTTAGGTAATGTTTTTTTTCTCTTTTTTTATTAGTATAATGTTAAGAAATCTGTTCAACACATTATGTACAAAAACAAAATAAATAATAAATAACAGTGCAGAATGTGAATGATACTATCAATGCTGGTTCATTTAAACCGTTTAGATGGTGAACCCCACGAGGGGCCATTGCTTGGTGCAATGGTAAAATTTCGGGTACCCAGTCCGCCCCTCTGGAGACCCCAGATAGCCAGGACCAGCTTTGGATAATACGGCCCTCAGATGAATGAATCCCACTGTATCTGGTGGCACAGCAGTCAACCATACTACCATTCATGGGTCATATTCAAGTTCAACTGGAACAGAGCAATGGATTTGAAAGGTAAAAAATGAATGGCGATTAGAAGAAAATGGTAAAGCTCACGTACTCTGGAAAGAGTTGCATGAACTGATACAAATCAACTTAAGAGGACTACACACAACTCACAAATGAATTCCAAGGCAAAAGAGGACCACAGATCAGCATTTGCTTAATAGCCCTTAGATGATAAACCCCGTTGTATCTGTTCACTCATCACAGTAGTCAACCATGTTAGGCGTTCATGGATCATATTCAAGTTCAACTAGAATAGAGAAAGGATTATGAAAAGTCAAAAATGAAGGGCAATTACAAGAAAATTGTATAATTCGTGTATTTTTCACACTCAATGACAAAAAGAAAGAAAGAATTACAGAGACAAGTGATGTAAATTTAAAAGGACGGCAATCAGGCAAAGCAAATGAATTACAAGGCGAAGGAGGGTCAAAAACCAAGGGCATACGCTACTGCAATCAAAATCCCTACAACAGTGGACCACAGGGGGCCCTGAGACATATAAGCGCTACTGCAATCATCATTGGTGCCACTAAAGCATCCAGGTCGTTGTGTCTTAGCCACACCACCATCCAAAACAAAGCTACTGTTACGTTTTCCATTGCTAAAAAGCACACACCAGAAATACGGGGCTCCACCATCAGTTCCACTTACAGCAGCCCCTACTTCTGTGTGATTGCTACTATACAATATTTCCAAACTCTTGCTGTTGTGAATCAGAAGACCTGAGAAGGCCTCAGAAGCACCAACATATTTAGACTGGCATCCAAGTAAACGGCCTGTGATGGGGCCAAGTGTTGATGCTTGGACCCCACAGTTGGGTGCAAATGTCTCTGCAAATTCAGCATCAGCAGGCTTTTTGGCGTCAGAGCCTCCTACATCGTCACATCTTCCTTGGTATGCTTTTATGTATTGCAAAGCAATGCATCCAAGGCCCGGATTGTCAAAAAGTGCAGTTGACTTGTGTGCAGTTCTGTTGCTATTGAGAATGGACACAAGTTCATCGGCTGGGTTGTCTTTTTTTTTTTTTTTTTTTTGAGAGAGAGAGAGAGAGAGAGAATTTTGTTAGAGCCTGAACACAAGTATATTAAAAAAACTACTGATTTTCCAACTTAAATTTACACATTAACACGTAAATAGCATGGATTTGAAGCCTCAAAGTAAAATTTCTTGCCTCAAATTAATTAAGAAACAATTTGCCTAGAACCAGAAACAAGAAACATTGGAATCAAACCAGGGTTATGGCCATATGCCACAGATCAACAAGATGATACTTTGGAGTCAGTACTTGGTAGCAGTTGAATCAGCTAAACACCACCAGGGAGAGAGAGAGAGAGAGAGAGAGAGAGAGAGATCATTTCCATATGATTTTTTTTATCAATAAACAAAATTCCATATGATAATAATCGGTTAAGGCTTGTTCTTATATGGTCACATATGCTAGGTATTTGCTCCCTGTTAATGTTAAGTCCAAGAAGCAGCTAGGGCCATCGATTGAGCACACAGCAAGTTGTTTAGTTATGAGTGATCCAGACAAATCTCATTTTTAGTAGAAATTAAAATTTATCATGAAACCTTTATGTTGAATTTACTAGGTATCGAATATCTTGGAAACAGCCTCTCTGTGTATCTGCAAGGGTAAGACTGAGTAGATCTATCCCTCCCCAGACCCCACATTAGTGGGAGCCTCCTTCACTGGGCTGCCCTTTTTCTTATTTTTTTTTGAATATCGAGTACAAGTTGATGTTAATAGTACTATCTTGCTTGGCTAGAGATATCCCCAAGTGACATTAATAGCAGTTTTTTTTTTGACAAGGGATATCAGCAAGTCAAGGTGTTAATAAAATGAACCTGCAAGTGTAAGCATCTCATAGTTTTCTAGACCATTCCATAGACATATTTATTCCACTTCTTTAATTTGAGGACTTTAACATCTCAAACAAATTGTGGTTCATCTTGAAAAGTAACCTTGCTAGTGCCATTTCAAAGCTAGTATCCAAGGTTTTCTGAACTCCAAGTGAATGTAAAAGCACCTTTAACATCTGAGAACTAGAAAGAAAAACCTTAAGGATACTCCCTATAATATTCATTTAAGCCTTTTTTTCTGTAAAGGGCAAAGAAAGGAATGTAGAAAAAAAAAAAAAGCTTGGGGATATCTCTTGGCCACCCAGCGCTAGCATTTACAAGATTTCGTCCATCAGTTTGGTGACTAGCATTTACAAGATTCTGGCCAAGGTCTTGTCATTGAGGATTAAAAAGGTGCTCCCCTCAATCATCAGTCAAGGTCAAGGTGCTTTTGTTCAAGGGAGACAAATAATTGATCAAATTTTAATAGCAAATGAATGCGTGGAGGAGATGCGAAGATCGGGTAATCAAGGCTTTGTTTGTAAATTGGATCTTGAAAAGGCCTATGATCTAATGGACTGGAGCTTCTTGTTAGAGGTGCTTAGGAAGTGTGGGTTTAGGACTAAATGGTGTAAATGGATGAAGGGATGCCTTTCCTCCTATCATTTTTCTCTTCTAGTCAATGGGGTAGTTAATGATTTTTTCCCAACCTGTAGGGGCCTAAGACAAGGTGATCCACTATCCCCTTTCTTATTCACTTTGGTTGCTGGTAGACTTTAATAATGTAGATAAGGCTGGGTTATTGAGAGGTTGGAGAATAGGTAGAGATAGAATTCCGGTAACCCACCTTCAGTTTGCAGACACCATTATCATCTTTTGTGAGGGTTGTGATTTGGTGGAAGTGAGAAACTTGAAGAATCTAATTATCCTCTTTGAGAATGCCTCTAATTTGAAAATCAATTTTGAAAAGAGTTGTGTGGTTGGATTGAACTTGGATGAAGGGGTTTTGGAGTCTATCGCTACCTGCTTAGATTGCTCCTATTCTGAGTGGCATTTGACCTATTTAGGACTTCCCCTAGGTGCCAACCCAAAGGAAAGTCGGTTTTGGAACCTTGTGGTGGAAAAGTTTGAAAAAAGATTGGCGACTTGGAGGAGGAACTACATTTCTTTAGGGGGAAGAGTGACCTTAATAAAAGCTACACTGGCTATATGCCAATTTATTTTCTGTCAATCTTTAGGATACCTAACAAGGAAGCAAAGAGGATTGAAAAATTGATGAGGGACTTCCTATGGGAGCCAGGGGAAGGAAAAAATGATCATTTGGTCAGTTGGGAAGTAGTGAGCCGAATTAAAAAAAGAAGGGGAGCTAGGGCTAGGATAGATAACTAAGAAGAATGAAGCTCTTCTAGGTTAGTGGCTTTGGAGGTGGCCCTTGGAAAGAGAGAGGTTATGGCACGAGGTGGCGTCTAGCATTCATGGCTGTTCTAAGACTGGTTGGGAGGCTATTTCAGGCACCCTTCCTAATTTCCTCAGGTATGAAAGATATGATGTTTGCTCTGGTAATTCTATTCTTTTTTGGGAAGATATTTGGGTGGACTCTCAACCTCTAAAAGATCGCTTTCCCTCCCTTTACACTATCTCCCTCTTTAAAAAGGAGCCTATTTCAAGGTTTCTTTCTCCCCCAATTCTCTCCCTTGTCTTTGAATTGGAATTTTGGGTTTCATAGAGGTTTAAGGGATGAGGAATCTGCTTGCGTCTCTGAGCTCTTGCTTCTTTTGAACTCTATTTGTTTGGACCTCACTAAACCCGATAGAAGAATTTGGACCCTAACTCCTAATGGCTCCTTTACTTGTGCTTCTTATCTCGGGTCCCTTTGTCCTGCCCCTCTCTCTTTGGAATTCCATGTCAAAGAAATCTGGTCAAGGCCCATTCCCCCTAAAGTAGTTGTTTTCTATTGGGAAGCTTTTTACGGTAAGATCAATACTATACCTGCAAAAGAAGAGACCTTTCCTTTGTATATCCCCAAACTGGTGTATTTTGTGTAAAATGCATAACAATGATCACCACCACTTACTGTTATCTTGTGCTTTTGCTGCTAATATTTGGAATTGGGTCTTTATGTTGTTTGGGTGCAGGTGGACCTTGCCCTCTAAAGTAAACCTGCTTTTTGATCCATCTACTTTTGGGCAGCCAACTAAGAGAGGGAAACTAATGTGGAAGTGTATCAAAGCAGCCACTTTGTGGACCATTTGGGAGGAAAGGAATTTTAGAATATTCCAAGAAAAGGAAAGAAGCATTGATGAAGCAAAGAAGTGCATTATGGCAAGAACAATTCATTGGCTAAAAACTTGAGATCCATTCAGAGGTTATTCCCTTGATTATCTCTAGAAAAGTTGGGCAGAGGTGGCCTCTACAGCCACCAAAAAGAATAAACTACAGATAGAGTGGAAACATCCTACAGAGGGTGTGGTAAAGCTGAACTTTGATGGCAGCAGTCTTGGCAATCTAGGGCCTTCAGGACCAATGGGAGTTGGAGATTCAACAAGGGCTGAGATACTGGCTGCGGTGCAAGGAATACATGCTGCAAACCAACTAGGAGTGGAAAATCTGATAGCTGAGGGAGATTCTAAGCTGGTAGTAGGTTGGCTGTCGAGTCCAGAAACAGCTCTATGGGGTTATAGGGATCTTCTTAAGAAAGTTAATTGGCTCACAAGGAATATGTCAGTCACTTATCAGTGGGTCAACAGATCAGCAAATGCCATGGCAGATTCTTTGGCAAAACAAGGGGTCTCAAGGGTTGAGTTATTTCTGCCACTTTATGATTGTATTCTGTTAAGTTTGTTTTATGCTCTCACCTCCAAGGGGAGGTAACATCTCGTGCTTCCTCTTTGGGTGAATGTACACTCCCTTTCTTATTAATAAAATCATTTTTCACTTATCAAAAAAAAAAAAAAAAAAAAGCCACCCAGCGCTCCAAGGATCTGCCTCTACAGTCATCATCTAAAATTCTCTCCACTTTGACATCTTCAAACTCACATAGAGCTCTCATGTGTTCTCAATTGTCCTTATATCGATGCCATTTTAGTAATGCTTCACTTGGGTGCATCAATGACTTTCCTTGAATCTCCCCAGATGTAAAATTTCCTGAACCCTCTTTGCTTGGCCCATACTAGGCCTAGGAAAACTGCCCAAGCCTCAGTTAAATTAACTGAGCATAACCCCAGTCCCTTGGCCATGTCTCCAACAAATCTCCCCTACCACTCCCTCTATTTTCACAATCTTTCTCCCCACCCCCTCTCAGTGAACCAAACCAGACTCTTCTTTATGGGTCAATGTCATTGCTTGTTGTGATGGAAAAATCTCAGGCTGAAAAGCATGAGAATGAAGATTCGAGTTTAAAATCAATCATCTTGTGCTAAAAAATGCCAGTGGTAGGTGAGTATCCAGTCATTGGGTAATTTGCCTTTAGCCAACATTAGATGATTAGATCTAAGGATGTCTTAAACCTTAAATCTTACACCTTACTCAACATTCAAAAATGCATCCTTGAATTTCTTTACAGTTTCTTAACTTTCTCTTCCGTTTTTTAGCCATCAGAAATCTGCATCCATGATAGACCATATCCTAACTCTTAGAACTTCATCTTGAGATACTATCACTAGCTACTTTTGAAGGCTCATTGCTAGACCTATCAGTAGCCCATGTCAACCTGATAGACCTAAACCAATCTGACCATTTTATGCAGGATCTGGGACAGGCTATTTTCCAACGGTTTAGTTCTGGTTTGATTTTTGAGACCTGGTAGTAATTGGGAAGGGATCCATTCCACCTTATCCTGAACCAATAAGAATCCGATCCCATCATTAGGTTTATTATTAAATTACTAGGTTATAGGCCTGTTAAATATAATTGGGTTGGTCCCAATAGGATCAGTTTTTGGCCTGTAACTTACAAACCTCATAGGGTCATGGTTGGGACCGGGTCTACCCCAATCCATACCAGACTTGACCTGTTGACAGGTCTACCCATTGCATCCTTCCATCAGAACAAACTCCAGTGACACATACTGGTGTAGGACCAGCTCGGTTCTAGTCCTTAGAAAATGTTGAATGGTCTTCTTGATCAGAGCTTTATGGCTGTCAGTGGCTGTAATGGCTTCTTGAAGGAATAAGAGAGAAAATAGGGAGAAAAAGAAGAGAGAAAATATCTGGAATCACTCACAGGGTGCCTAGAATCACTCTAGGGCATGGGAATCACTCACCATAGCTAGCATAAGCTGAAGAAAACTCAATATAATTCATTGCCTTTGTGTAAAACGTCCATACATATTTATAGACTCTAAATTCATAATAATCTTAGGAGTCAAACTGTTAGACTCAAACTAAGTTGTCACATCCTACTTCAATTCAAAGAAGATTCAATTACTCTAATCCTACTTATGCAATGACTCTGAAATTTTAAACATAAACAAACTATAACTAGACAATCAAACCCTATTATTGGACCCTACAGAAAAATTATAAAATGGCAAAAATACTCTTGTTGTTCAATTCAGTCCAAATCCCAAGTACCATCACTATGCCATATCAGGACCTGTTGTAAGGCCTTCTTCCTTCTAGAATAAGTCTACAAAGGTGCTGATCGATTCCTATCACATACTTACAGAGACACTCTTCAAACACATGCAATGCAGGAGCAAATATGCACTTCCATGTACCATTTCGTTTTATCTCCTACCTTATCTGAAACAAGTGAACACCTAATATACAAGATGAATGCCATTTTTATATCAAATGTTACTCAGTTATAAAGGTTAACACTTTAGACCCCTATCTTGTAGGAATAAGATGTTAGGAACTTAGAATTCAAAAATATGAACTACTATAATAGTATATATTTTTTCCATATATGTTTCAGCAAGTCCATATTTTCTCATCTTACCAAGTCAGATTCTTGGACACATGTCTGTATCTTACTCATGTTTGTGTCTATGAAGTTCTATAGTTAAGTAAACACGGCATGAGAGGGGTGGACCATGGTTGTCAAGTTATCACCTGAATGCCTTGAGGCCCTTGACTGTGCCTAAGCAACAAAAATCACAAGGCAGGTTTCTTGTTGTATTATGGCTGCATTTTATTAGTTTTTTTTTTTTTTTTTGAAAACAGTAAAGTAAGGAGTTGTATTAAAGTAACTCCAAAAAAAAACACATCAAGACCCTTGTACACTGAGGAGATGTACAAAGGAGATTTACAACAAGAAGTATAAAGCTATTTATCTGTCAAAAAGCTGCATTTTATTAGTATGCGTGTTAATACATTCTATCATCTATAATATGTATCACACTCACTTGTACACTGAGGAGATGTACAAAGGAGATTTACAACAAGAAGTATAAAGCTATTTATCTGTCAAAAAGCTGCATTTTATTAGTATGCGTGTTAGTACATTCTATCATCTATAATATGTATCACACTCACTTATACCAAGTTTTAAGGTTTACTACTGAAATTTAAAAGATCTAAGGGCTTCAAGAATAGAAAGTATTGATCAAAAAAAAAAAAAAGAATAGAAAGATAAAGAAGTTCTTTTCCTCTCTTGTTTCTACTCTCTTTTTCTCTTATGTTAAATAAAACAGCAGCTCCACCCATTATTCTTTTTCTCTTTTACTTACAGCATATCTTAAACTTTTATTATATAAAAGTATAGTCTTCTTTAGTTTTTAATATGGGGTTGCTATATCAAATGCTTATTATATTAGTGTTATTTTTGGAAATATTGAAGTTAATATATTTAACATACTATTGTCTTCTAGATTTGATGATTTACCATGTTTTGAGAGGAAATTTAATGTTCTTAATAAAGAGAATTACTATTTTTCAATTACTATGCAGCTGATTGGTATGTAAAACTAGACAACATCATAACAAACCTAAAACTTAGGTTTTTTATTTTATAAAAATTCTTATTGCTCCGACAACACCTAGGCGGCTAAGTGCCATGCTGTCACCTAGAAATCACCTAGATACCTTGACAACTACAGGATGGATTGGATACAAACATAAACTTTGGCTTTTTTTCACAAATTGGTCACTCTCAAAATGGTGCAAGGGGTGAGCAATAGCACCAAAACCCAAACTATATAAAGTTTGAAAGCACCAACAAAGCATTTATGTGTGTGAATGCATATGCATACACACACACTCATACATAGATATGCATATTTATACATCTTTCATTACATTCATAGACCTTAGCCAAATGGATCATAGTTTTGAAGTCTTGATGAAAATAATTTATAATTAGTCACGAATGAAATAAGGAGAGCTTCATTTTTCCTGTTGATATAGCAGGGCAGAGTATGAGAATATGATACCAATTGGAGAGAGAGAGAGAGAGAGATGAACCAATCATATGATAACTGAGGAAAAGAGGGATGGGTAGAATAGGAAATGCATTCATGGAGATGGCCCCTCATAACAATTGAATTGCTGATTGCACCTAAAATTTGCATTATAAATTTTTGTAAGGCAGTTTTATACTATTTCTGATAGGAAAATATGAATATGCACAGTCAGAGAAGGAATGTCCCCAAATGAACATAGATCGGGTGCTATGCAACACAAAGTCTTGGCAGAAATATGATTCACATGTTTACAACGAAAGAATTTTGAGGGGAAATCCACTACAATAGTACAATTTCATATTATGTGCACTTGGTTGCTTGTTGGCAACATGGGAGAAACTAAGTAGATATCTCCATCACCCTTAAGGATATCTTAGAGACAATTGATTATTAAGGCAATACTCCTTCCATGTCAAGGGTCCCCATATATCTGAAGCCTGAAGGGAAGCAAAACATAAGAGGATAAAACCAAAAGTGAAGGAAAAGAAAAACTTTATTTAATGGGCAAGTAAAACAATGGGGTAAGATAAAAGAGAACTTCATTGCTAGGTATGGTATAATTTCCTTGGACCCAGAATCTAGCGAGAATATATAAATTTAAAAGGCAAGAAATGCTACAAACTTACAAAGACAATGTGTGATGAATTTATTCGAGATGAAAGGAGGCGATCGAGTCGACTGAAACCTATAAACACTTCATAAAGAGTATATACATAATTGCAATTTGCACCTTATTAGATCTCTAGGAAAGTGATAAATCTCTAGGAAAGTGATAAATCTCCAAGAAATTTGATTACTCGTATGTTGTCTCAAAGCTAAGTCAACACCAACATCTCCCCGGAGAAAAGATACATTTTCCGCATGCAAACTTGGCAATAGTCTTCATGAAAGGAAAAAGTGATAGAATTACTACAACTTTTGTTAAATGAAGATATTTTCCGTTGAATTACTACCATTTTGCTTCCCATAAAAAGGAACAAGGGAAAAGGCAAACAAGGAACAGATGTATTAAACGATCAACTTCGCAGAATACTATGGGGGGACATCTGACGTCATAATGCAGATCAGCTAAAATCAACAAACTGAAGCAAATTCCAGACTAAAACAATATCCTCAACAACTGTGCAGAAATGATGAGTTAAGTGCAAATGCGCAATGTAGGAGTCTAATTGGTAATATGGAAAGTATTACTTGCTACATTTGGAACTAATCAAGAGAGTAACAGATAGCAAAGCAGTTTTGCAGATATGTTGAGCAGATCTACTTACTACTGGGAATCAAAGAAAACAAAAACCATGAACGAAAATTTTACTTTTAAGTTATTTTTAGCATACCAAAGGAAAAGAAAAAGGATAAAAACAACAAAGACTTACTCTTACCATCGGCGGAAGCAGATACAAAAAGAAGAGCAACAACAAGAAACCACGTAACAACAGCCATTGCAGCAAAACTAAACTCTTCGGCCAGAGATCGGAGCGGATGAAAGAAATATGGTCTGTCGGTCGGTCGTCTTACTTCACACTTATAGTTCCATTTGTTACGTTCAAATTGGTCATAGATTTCTATTGAAACTACTGAAATGCCACTGACCGTTTTCTTTTCCTTCTTTCCCCTGTCCGAACTCCCTCACTCCTCAGTCCCAAGGAGAAATTTCAGATTTCATAACCCCAAAAAAACGGAAAAGAAATCACCTGGAGAAAGAGAAATAGAGGATTGCCCAGACCGTTTCGATTCTACAAAATACCTCACCACCTCAGCCAAAAATCGCACTCATGGATGGTCGGACTTCATCCAAGGATGGAAAATCTAATAAAATGCCCCTGTATTACTCCTTTATTACATTTTTTTGAACTTTTTATTAATTTTTATTTTATTCTTCAAAGCTGGTGAGGTTACGTCCGTGGTTGACTGGTTACTGGTTGTATACAACTTTTTTTTTGGTAGTTCTGGTTGTATACAACTTGCTTCTTTGACAATTAGTAAATTGTCAATGTGGTCAGGAGTGATCGGTCGATTACAAATAGATCTAGATCTTCGTTTCTTTTTTTAACTTTCGTCTGTTTTTATGATTGTTTTGACTGTATCTTCTGATCAAAAGTGTTGATAAATTATTGACTTTTTTTGGTGCTTCAATCCAGCTGAGTAGCCAACTGAGGGTTAGAACAGTTGGTACACGGGGTGAAGATGATTCCAGCTTCTGGTCCCCTTATTATCATCTTTAAAAGAAAAGAGTTATATAAATATTAAATTAGTTATTGATGTGATGTTGTATTATTCATAGAAAAAATAATGGTCTCGATTAGGGATTCAAGTGTTGATTAATACACAAAAAAAAAAGAAAAAAAAACTAGTAACCGAAAACTAATGTAGAATAAACCTAAAAAATCAAATATTAAAAACTAAATGTATGTAAAAAATAAAAAATATGTAAATTTCTGGAGTTAAAAAATTCGTGGGTTGAACTATAATATGATACAGGAAAAACTTAAACCAATAATGGTTGTAAACATTGAGGGAGATGAGATGGGCTCCCAACAGAGCGCGTCCTACATGCTCATCCCCTCTGTGATGAGTTGAGAACATCTGCCAATAAAACACGTTCCAGTCCTCTTCAGGTCCCATTTTTATGGTGAGAAAGAATTGGAACGTGTTTTTTCTAGATCAACCACTCCTTTGTTGTTTGTTGTCTGGTTGGGATTTAGAAATCATTACCTTTTAGGTTCTTCCAATTAAGCAATCTATCCCTTTTTTCCAAAGCCTAACAAAAACAGAATTCACTAACTGCTCATGAATAGGGGTGATCATGGGCCGGGCCTGGGCCAGGCTTTGCACTTATGATAAGGGCTATAGCTTAGGCCTGGGCTTGAAACATAAGCCCTAGCCCAAGTCTATACAGGCCCGGGCCGGACTGGACCTGATTCCGGGTCAATGTCACTCATATATAAAATATTACATATCTATATATTAAATGACATAACATGCATATAAATTTATTTTATACATTATATAATATAAAATATTACATATAATATAAATTATATATATTATGTTATAATATTTATATATAAATTATAAAATATACAATATAATGTAAAATAATATGTATACATATGTATATGTAGGCCGGATTTAAAATATTAAACCCAAGCCCGGCCCTAAAATTTACGAGCTTGATATGGGCCCAGGCCCGAGTCGGGCTGAACACAAAACCTAGGCCCAAGCCCAGAATTTCCAGACTGGGCCAAGCTGAAATGATCATTCTTACTCACGAACAACTAAACCCAGATTTCCTACTCATAATACAATACGGCAATGTATGACTGAGTGTGGATAGAGAATAGTGGGCAGGAAATCCGGTTTACACAAACAATCATGATGAATATAATTAGTCACAAGAGGGACTAACCAACCCGGTATAAGTGCAAAGAACATTTTGCCCAAATTTCGCAATTACATGAGCTGCTCTGTTAAAAGATCTATGATTAAAACTTTGACACTGCAATCAACAAGCTAATGCTTTATTCATGCAAAAAAGAACAATTTTCTCCAACAGACTATTGATAACATCCAGCGCATCATCCACCACCATGCAATCAAGGAGGGTGGATTCAGTCCTCACAGAACTGTGCTTACATCGTTCTCACAGCCTTTTCAGTCATGTATTGAGCTTCCATATTTATATCTTTTAATTCATGAAGAGTTATTCCTACACGGTTGCAATGGATTCTGAATACAATGTGAGAATGGTTTTGTGGAGCAAGGTTTAGTTGAACGCTTTAGCTGTTTAACGGGCTGTGAAATCATTGATAAGATTTTACACCAGTATTAAATACATATGGCCCACATCTTTTACAGTGGAGCCCATGAATTTATTACATGAAACTTCATCATTAGTTCTATAACACATTAAACAGCTAAAGCATTCAATTAATCTGAATTTGGTTTTGTGAGTACCAAATCCGATTTCCATGCTTAGGTTCTTTGATGGAGTGACCCTTCTAATTAAAGATAAACATACTCTACTGATATGATGGCTTTGCTAGATATTATATAAGGGCCATGATTGAATTTCCTTGTATTTGATTAAGAGGATCTTCCCATTCATTAAAACTAGGGGTTAGCTCAAAAATCAAATCAAGAGTCGATCTAATCTAATCCAACCGGGGTGATGATAGTGATTCATCAAGTGTTTGGTTGAATGCTTTCAGCAAAACTGTAAAACAATTTGTGGAGAAAACATTATTTTGATATTTCTTACGATTGGAACAATACTTTCACCTTTTTATTGCGTATATGGCATTTAAATTGTTTATCGAATAAAAATTTGTCTTGAATTGTGTAAGAATCATCTATTGAGGGGAATTTTGTTTCTCCAACATCAAGTCATTTTTCATTATTCAACTTATGTGGTGTATATGGGTGCTTATCTAAAAAAAATAGTAAAAAAAAAAGTTTTTCAATCATTTTTTCATTTTTCAAGATAAATATCATACAAAAGATTTATTAAATAAATGCCAATGGACTAAACAGCCCGAAAAGATAGTTATGCTGATTCAAGAAACGGTTTTTTTTTTCAATTATTCAAGAAGCTCCCTCTCTCAAAAAACTCAAGGCCTATTCAATGCAGCAACATAATGTGATCAAATACCTGTGTTTTTCTCATGATATAATATTGTCATGTTATCATGTCCGCCCATTTCTGCCATGAAAATGAATCTTGTGGTTAATCTAGATTATATCCATTAGAGGAGGAACCCACATAGGTACATACACTTAATTACTTTTCAACCATATGAAAAGCTACCTATTTCTTGTTTGTTAAGTAGTAGTTATAATATTGGAATAATATAAAATTTCTTTAACAATAGGCTTTAAGTGGTAAAGAACATAGAAAAGCTTTTTGGTAAAGAATGCATGTAAAAATACATAAAAGTAAGAAATCAGTATAGAAAAACTTAGATAAGGAAATATCACCTAATATTCAGATAAAGAAATATTACCTTAATGGATTTGTCGGTTGACATGAATATCAACCAACTTATCATTATAAGCTCTAGCTGGCAAGCTAGAATTTGAGTTTTATGGATTAAAAAAAAAAGAAGAAAATATGATTTGGACAATGATATATCACCTGAAGGGATTTGTTGGTTCAGATGAAGCTCAACCAATTTATGACATGGGTTTACCCTTGTCCTTAGTTAGCAAATTAGATATATTGAGTTTTCTGAAAATAAGGGTTGAACTTACCAGGTATGAAAATGATCTGAAATTACAATATTTTCTGATGTGCAATAGATATTGTAATAGACTAAGAGGTGAAACTCAACATTTTTTTATTGTACACAAACTAAACTTGGAACACCACACCCCTCCCCAAAAATCAAAGGAAAATTAAAGCAAAATAATAATAATAATAATGATTTTTTATATAATAAATGATGAAGTATGATCATTTAACAAAATCATATACGTTTTCAAAAAATTAATTAAAACAGTGAGCGGGAGAGGTTTTGCTTTTTTTTTTATCAGCTAAAATATGATAATACCCCCCAACTCCTGCAAATCACCACTATTCATTGACTACCATGAGAAGCGGGGAGAGAAGGACAAAGAACGGCTCAGGATGTAAAGACAAGCAACGTGATGCTTGACTCCCACTTCGATGCCCAATTGGGCGACATTGGCTTGGTGTGGTGGCTGGAGCATAACAGAAATAGAGGAAGCAAGAACTCTGAGAAAAGAACTTGTGTTTATTAAGAGGTTTGATACAATATTTATAGAGAATACATATGAGCTGACGTGGTGAGTTGTGCCGCGTGAATCGCAACAAACTAACTACAACAAAATTAACGAGGACCGGTTTTGATTGGCAGACACAACTAGGACCGGTGGCACAATTGGGTATCTGTCGCCTGAACACTTCCAAAAACAAAGCATTGCCACGGCAAAATCTGATGTTTTAAGCTTTGGGTTTGTTGTCTTTGAGGTGGCCTCTGGTCGGTGAGCTATTGATCTCACATATCCAGATGAGCAGATCATCCTGCTTGACTTGATAAGACAACTATCAGATAAGGGCAGGTTCTTGCAAGCTGGGGATGATAGGTTCAAGGATGGATCTTACAAGCTTTCTGAAATGGAACGTTTGATCCATATCGGGCTCCTGTTTTCTCTCAGTGACCTTCAATCCAGGCCTACGGGTTATGTTAGCACTTGCCGGAACTTCTATTGGTCCGTTGCCACCTCTTCCATCGTTATATATCTATCTTTCATTGTTCCATCGGGTTGGGGGTGATTGAAACGTGGATCATGCTCTTGCTCTTGATGCTCACATCAGGCTCCAACACGCTTCCCTCAGGAAAATGGTGGAAGTCGGATGGGGGAAAGGGAGATGAGGAACAATGGCGTTCTAAGGAGGAAGAGGATGAACGCTGACGTAAGTTTAAGAAAGTACAATTTGATAAAAAAATTAATTTTTTGTCTGATCGCTATTTTGGCAATATTTGTGAAAATATATATGATTTTGCCAATTCAGCAAATTTATTTTATTTTTTGTAAAAAGTCATAATAATAATAATAATAATAATAATGCAACGCTCATAATTTATTTAATAGTTAAGGGTTATTTACTAAAAAATTCCTCGTAGAATATAGTCTTGTGGATTTACTAAATTATACCAATATATAACATCCCCTATAGTTTTCAATCAATTTACTTAATCAACACCCTGTTGGTTGGAAGTGGAAAATTATAGTTTTAACCATAACATCAATTTAAGCAAATTTAATCGAAAGAAACTAAAAATGAAAAATGTCATTCTTGCCTTTGGTAAAATGCAAGCAACCACTCCATTTAATTAGTTTTTTCTCTCTATTGGAAGAAATAAGTTATATTGTTGCTGACGAGTAACCTGGATGCCTTTATTTTCTCTTATTTTTCAATTTGCTGAAACCAAATACTGTTTAATTTGGTAGATCTAGAAGATAAATATTGTTTTTGATATGAAGTGCTAGGTGTATTTTTGAAATAAATAATCTTGGACTCACACCCTTAATAAAAAGGTTGATTAAGTAAATAAGTTACAAAATATAAAGGGTTTTAATAAGATGCAGACTATAGGGTAGGTTTTAGTTAATTTGCAAAATTATAGAAAGTGTTTTAGTAAATCATGGATCCTATAATTAAACTCCAAAAAAAAAAACTATTTTAGATAGTAATATCAATGATCAATGCCAAGAATACCATCAATGTAAATAATCTCACAATTACTTTAAAATTCAATGGTAGAAAGTGGACATCCTTTTAGACCAAAAAATAAAAGAAGATATAGACAAAATAATGAGCCTGTTCCAAATTTGATTGGTCACAGATGAAAAAAGAGATCATTGTTAACATAAATTCATGAGGTCTATTAATTATCTTTCCATAATGCTGATAATTGTTATTGCTTCATGTCAAAAATGACCATCTCTATTCATTTTTTTCATTGTGTTTCTCTCACTATATCTATCATTACTCCGAAACTTCTTTGATGCATGGGCTTTGTTAAACGAAATTGGAGAAGGAGCCCTGTAACATTTCCAAGCAGGTTGAGCCAACCAACCATAGTTTTATTAAAACAAACTAATACTAATATTTTTTTAACTTTTCTATTAATTTTAAAGTTTTTTCATAATTTTATTGATGTTTATTATATTTTATTAAATGTAGTTATTTTTTATCAAATTTAAATGGACTTAAATTTATAATTTTTATCAATAATATCAATTGATAATTATTTTTATTATACTTAAGTAAATTCTTAAATTACTTTTGTTATATTTAATTAATTGTTTTATTATTTTCAAATAGAACATAAATGGATTATAATTTTTGTGATGTTTATTTGTGCTAATTAATTTTAAATAATTTTAAAATGTGACTAGTTTTTTAATAAATGTTTTTTATCAATAAAATTAAAATCCAATGGTAGAAAGTAGGTACCCTTGTAAATAGACAAAAACTAATAAATTTGATCGTCTCCTGGAAAAAAAAAGCAAAATTTTTTAACATAAATCCGAGAATGAGAGTCGGATCTAGTGCCAATATATAATCACAAATGAACAGAGACCGGATTTACTCCTCACACAGGGCGCCTCACACTAACTATACAGGCACATCCCACCATGCATTGGGAACATCTCCTGTACTTAAAAGATATTATTCACGGGAGATGTTCTCAATACATGGTGAGATGTGCGAGGTCGGTGTGAGGCACCCTGTGTGAGGAGCAGATCCCAATTCGAATCAACACGCCAATGTCCCGTGCATATGAACTTATGTGCCTCAGCGCTCCTCATGCCAACCCCACAGAAAATCATGGCCATTGGAACATCTTCCAAAATACAAATACGGATGATATTCTCAATGCATGACTGAAAGTTCTCTGAGGTTGTTGTAAGTTGCAAATCCATATACCTTGTCTACTTGTGAGGAGATCCCGTGTGACTAATAAAGTGATAATTGCCTCCACTTCGAGTTGGGATCTGTTCCTTACCAAGTGTGCCTCATACTGACTGACCTTACAGCCACATCCCACCCTATATTAGGAACATCTCCCCATGAATAATAAATACAAATTCAGGAGATCTTCCTGATGTACGACCAAAACAAGTTGTGAGGTTAGCGTGAGGAGCAAATCTGGACTCCTCTGCTTCACGTCAAAACGACCACCTACATATTTTTGTCACTATCATTCCTACACATTTTAGGATGCATCTTTTTTTTTAACTCAAAGGGGGTATTATTGTCTTTTAATTATCAAGGCATCCCATTCGATAATGAGTCCGGATTCAGTGGGCCCTTAGGTTCACGGGGCACGTGAACCCTCCAATAGGAGGCGTGCACGTTGCCTCTTTCGCTCTCTCTTTTCCATTACTCTAAGTAACATTAAATAGTCTGTTTTCCTTGTCAGGCCAATTCAACTAGATGGGAAAAAACAAAATCAATTGAAAACCCAACACTCCCATTCTTTTCCCCCTTCGTTTGAACTCCCCTTCCCCATTTTCACCCGAGCCTTGGCTCAAGAACACAAGACCACCGACGGCATCCTCACTGTTTCACCGAGCTCCAATGGCTTGCATTCAACCAACAACAAGATTCAACCTCTGGCGGTTGGATTCAACCACCAATGGCATCCTCACTGTTTCACCGTGCACTTAACCAATGCGCATCCAACTCTCATAACCACAACCCCAAACAATCACCACCATCCACCATTTCAAAATGGTTTCCTCACTCGCAAAACAGTGATGACGCCACTGGTGGTCTTGAGCTAGGACTCGGGTGAAAAATGGGGAAAGGGAGTTCAAACCAAGGTTTAAAAAACCAACCAGGAAACGAGACCGTTATACCTACTGGTTTTCGGGTCAATGGTTCAACTATTCGAGTCGAACGGTTCGGATGGTTTGCATATTAGGGGAAATGTTTATATGAGATTTGCCCTAATATGCAAACCTCATATAAGAATGAAGAGATGTCGGCTGAGAAAGCTAGAAAGTAGAAGGAGAAAGGAGAACTATTGTTGGCTGAGAAAGAAGAAATAAAGAAGAAGAATGAAGGAGAGAAGGAAGAGGAGGATGATTGGATGCTCACCGGCGACAACAATGATGAGGTGGCAGCAAAAGATGCAGATTTGAGATATGAGTTCTTGGATCTCATATTTGAGATCGATTTCTCTAAAACACCTATAGAAGAAAGTCTTCTTCTTCTTCTCTTTGTGCTAGATCCCAGATCTGAGTTCGTGTCTCAAACTTAATCTTAGATCAGAGTTCTCCTCTCTACAACTTTATATTGCGAACTGCTGGCTGGGTCAAACGAGTCAATGGTTTGACCGTCTGGATCAGTGGTTTTTTGATAAAATCAATGGGTTTTGACCCAATAATGGATTAGAGGTGAAAATAGAACCGATTTTTTGGACAGTTTTCAGGCCAAATGGTCCGACCATCCGGGTCAACGAAGGTTCAAAAACATTGGTTCAAACGAAGGGATGAAAGAATGGGGTGCTGAGTTTTCGATTGATTTTGCTTTTCCCATCCGGTTGAACCAGTTTGACAAGGAAAAAGGACTATTTTACGTTACTCAGAGTAACGGAATAGAGTGAGCCGAAGAGGCAACGTCCACGCCTCCTATTGGAGGGTTCACGCGCCCCGTGAACCTAAACAATTGAACTGGAAAAAGCGGATAAGACACCTGTCTGTCTCACGACACCTCGGTTTACCGCTATCCTCAACGCTCAACCAATGTTTTACATTAGCAGAGCAGAGCAGAGCTAGCCGGAACGATTGTAATGTTCTTTCGACATGGCAATGACTCCGACCAGCGTTCGCCTTAGGGGCCTCTCCAATGCCACATTCCTTCGTCCTATGGCACCAAACCATCTCGTCTCTTCCTTGGCATCCAAAGGAAAGAAGCATTGCCGCATAATATGCGCATCGGTTCCTCCAGATAGGCGAGATAGCAGGCGCTCCGTCTCCATCGCCCTCTTTCTCTCACAGTGGCTCTCTATCCCTAAACGTGCGTCTCTTCCCCTCTCCTTGACTTTCCAGCCATCTTGTCTAGTGTTCGTTGCAGGGTAAGCCGGATGCCGACGAGAAAAGATAGGCTCATTTTCATTCAAGAAAATTTGGAATAAAAGGATGATAAAATAGAAACACAGGTGGAGGAAAACCTTCATGGAATCAATTCACGTAAAACCTGTCACATTTAGTCTGCGCTTGTTTTAACGTAGAAGGGGAGGGAACCAAAGTTTTCCCAGTAAAAAAAGGGCGAAAATATGAGTGAAATACTGTCTAGAAAATGTCAGATTCTTTTACATTGGATCGAGTTTAGCCTTAGGGCGGGGAGTAGCTCTGTGAAATGGTAAAAGTAGAAAATCTATGGCTTTCGCGTTGAATTAATGTTTTATTTGTCTTGCTACCTTTCCCCCTTTTTATTTGCAGACTTGCAGTGTTCCGTTTGTTTCACCTTAAAATAGGCGGATTTTTTTGATCTATCATTTTTTGGTTATTTCTGCCTATTTTACGGCCAAAGCTTTATTTCCCACCATTTTACATATAAACGAGTATTTCAATTTTCAATCTGTTAAGTTTCAGTTATAGTGAAAATATTTCAACAATTTAGAGTGTTCACAATAGTATATTTCTTCTGCAGATGCTAGCGCGGGAAGCATTTTGGATAAGTACGTGAAGAGGTAAGACTGCAGTCTAAATTCACGGTTCTGACAATTTTTTTCCAACAGTGTGAAATGTTGTTTTTATGTTGTTGGTGTATCATAGACGTGGGCCACGTGGCTTGCCAACGTATTAATTTGAATCTTTTAATCATGGAACATATTTTGTAGGAAATATATCAAAAGAACAGGTCGATTGCACCCTGCAAACTAACTGATACTCTGATACACAAATTTTATTTTGTCTTCTATCCATGTTTTCACCATAATGTGGAATGTCAAGAATTTTCAGAACACTGATTCTTTTTAGACTGGTCTGTGGGATCTGCTGCCATGATCATTAGACTGAATCAAGAAAGTTAAACATTCTTAGAACATGACACCTCTGATTTATCCCAAACAAGAATGACAAGTTCAATCAAACAGACAAGGCTATATAGGCTAATTCACTTTATCCAGTACTCTTATAGTGAACAAATAATAATCAGGAAAATGCATTAGCTTGACTCGTTATGAATTAAATCAATAACCACATATTCAAAATTTAAATTTATTGATACCTAATTGAATCTTAAATCATAGAAAAGTCTTTATAAAATTAAATGCATGAACCAAGCCAATTATGCCTTAAATGGGGTTATTGTAGAGTTGAAAAGTCCTTAAACTGCCCCAAAACATGTTAGAAAAAGAAGATTTATTAAAGCAAAATCAGTTTCAACCAACTAGAAAACTGGAATAATCTTAATCTCCTCTGGCCCTGGTCAGTAGAGTTCTGATCTCGAGAAGGAGAAGAACTAAAAGGGAGAAGAGGAAGAGGAACAGATGTTTCGAGAGAAAAATGAACAAGGACAGCAAGCTGAGCCAAGCTTTAGTGGGTCCACATGTGATATTCTCGGGGAGCACATGGATTTTAAAAAGAGTGATGAGATGGGCTTGGAACAAATGGATTTGAAATAGAAACATAATAGGGGGCCTAGAAGGGGTAAATTACCTATCTGGAATTGAAGAGTGGGCCCAGCGACGATGGGGGTTTGGCCCAAAAGTATATTGGGGGTAAGCAGATTAAAGAGGCGATAGAGAAAGTGATGACAGAAGAGGCTGATTGCGATGCCGAAGGATTTGTTTGGATAATGGCAGTGTTCCTCCCTTAAAATAAGATTGCAGTGACGATTCGGGAGGAGGACGGGGATGGAAAAAGAAGTGCGGAAGAGAAGGGGGGACGCAGGTGGACTGTGAAGACAACCATTTGCATCAAGAGGAAGGGGAGGATGACGAAGCCAAACAGGACATCACTGAGGTTGAGGGAGGAATTCAGGAAAGAGATGAAAAGGATGATTGGGGAGAGAAAGTGATGGTAGGAGAAGAAGAGAATGGCAAAAAGACAACTGAGGTTTTACTCAAGAGGGATGAGAATATAATAGAAGAAGAGGGGGAAATCAATCAAGGGGATGAGGTGGTCAGGTCTTTACGAGCAGAGGAAATGAGAGCGTTGGATGAATTAGTGGGGAAGGGAGTAGGAGAAGTGGAAAAAGATTTAATTGAGAAGAAAAGAGGGGAGCAAGAATCATGGATTGAAGAAAAGGGAATGGAGGAGGAAGGTGTTAGGTCCGACATAGAAGCAAGCCCAAACAACGTGACCCAGGCCCATCACGCTCAAGCTCCAATCTAGAGCATTTTGTGGATCATGCGCACAACATCACCTCTAGGTTCGTTTACACGCACCGTCCACGTCATGAGGAGTGATCAGAGTTTGTTAGAGGTCGTTGTCCTCTCGTTGTGCATTATAAATATCTGTAATAAGCTGTGTAAGGGGATATGAAAGAAAACCCTATTAGTATCTTCTTTACCTCTCTCCTTTTCTTTCTTCCCCTCTGCTTTTCTCTCCTTCCCTCTCATCTATTTCAAGAGGGTGATCTCCCTTGAACCAGCTCCACTAGTAACGAGTTCCGAAGGTAATAAATCCATCAATTGGTATCAGAGCCTAGCCTCGATGCTGACCACCAGGTCTACATCGGCAAAAGAAAGGATTGATCGAATCAAAGGGGAGGTGCGACAGACCACCAATGAGTTGAGGGACATTAAAGAGACACTCTCAACATTGGTCAGACAGTTTGAACGGATGTCTGCAATACCTAGAGCTTCGGAAGCCGAAGGGTCTAGCAACAGTGACAACAGGCAAGGTGAAGTCTTCCCCGTCAAGGCCACCAAGATAGACTTTCTGCTCTACTCAGGTGATGACCCTGTTCCTTGGATATATCGGGCCGAACGTTACTTTGAATTTCATGAGACCCCAGCTGACCAGAGAATTCCTATTGCCGCCATTCACATGGACGGCGAAGCCATCATGTGGTATCAATGGTATTGTAAGACCCACCCACAGGCCACCTGGTTAGATCTAACCGAAGCTTTACGAGAACTTCAATGAGTCCCTCTCAAGAGTGAGACAAACAGGGACGGTGAGGGAATACCAGAATGAATTTGAACGGTTGGCCACTCATGTTCATGGCTGGCTGGAGGCCGCTCTAGTGGGATGTTTTATAGGAGGATTAAGGGATGATATAAGGATCGAGGTAAATACCTTGCAACCAACAACCTTGATTGTGGTGGTTGTCCTAGCAAAGTTTTAGGAAGAAAGGTTGGACCGACTTAAGAAGCTTGGAAAGCCCACTAGACCTTAGGCGGGCCCAATACAAAAAATCCTTATCCCAAGACTGAATCGAACCCAGGTCCACTTCTTCCAACACCCACCATTCCAACAACTACTACCGCTAAGCTTGCACCACCCACCAAGAAACCGAGAGCATTGACCCTTTCCTTACCAAAAAATGTCATGGATAGAGATGCAGGCCAGAAGGGAGAAGGGCCTTTGCTATAACTGTGACGAGAAATTCGTTTCGGGTCACAAGTGCAAGGTCCAACATGTGTACCTCCTGTAAGTAGAAGAAGAGGAGGAACCTAAGCCCCCTTCAAAAGATCCCGGGGTCGGTGGTACCGGAAGTTGAATACTGTGTTATTTCCCTTCAGGCTCTGGCAGGATACTAGACCCCAAGAACCATGCGGGTCCATGGGCAGATCTTGGGGAGGAGAGTGGCCGTTTTGATTGATAGTGGGAGTGGGAGTTCTTTGAACTTCATAACTCCCGGACTAGCTCGACAACTGGGGCTAATGATTGAGATAGTTCCACCACTTGCAGTCAATGTAGCCAACGGTCACCGTATCACTTGCGAAGGGAGGTGTAAGTCAGTTGAGCTCAAGATTCAGGGGTATACCTTTAGGGTGGACCTACAACCTTTGGAGTTCACGGGAGCAGATGTGGTTTTGGGCATACAGTGGTTATAGCTATTGGGCACTGTGGTATGTAATTGGGCCGAACTGACGATGCAATTCACACATGAAGGCAGTTCCTATACCCTAAATGGGGTTAAAAACCAACCCATAACCGCAGATAACTTGGAAGTTATCCTCAAAAACTGCCAACACAGTGCTACCCCCTTACTTATGAGCATGGGCTCGAGGCCTATTGGGCCTAGCAACTTTAGCTGTTACTTCAAACCTACTCTGACAATTTTCAAGAGCCCACTACCCTACCAGCCCCTCGAGGGTAGAAGTGGAACAGATGGTGAATGAGTTGTTAGACAAAGGTTTTATTCAGCCCAGTAGTAGCCCATTTTTGTGACCCGTTATTTTGGTGAAGAAGAAAGACGATAACTGGAGATTCTGTGTAGATTACAGAGCATTGAACAACATCACGGTGAAGGACTGGTATCCAAAGTTGGGTGAAGAACTATTCGATAAGTTGGGTGAAGCTAAGTATTTTTCCGAGTGCATCCAAAGGACATTCACAATACATTGGGCTTACTACGCCTCCATCAACTGTTTGCTAAACCTCAAAGTGTTCCTTTGGACAGACCCAAATTAGCTACCTGGGGCACATAATCTCTAATGGGCAGGTGCACATGGGCTAGGCCCACCTCTCCATGGGCCCTCAGAGGGTTCCTAGGGTTCACCGGTTATTATCGGTGGTTCATCAAAGGGTATGGGATCCTTGCAGCACCCCTCACTCAATTGTTAAAGAAGCACACCTTCGAGTGGGATCAGAAATCTGAAGAGGCCTTTCAATTACTCAAGAAGGCAATGACGACACCACCTACATTGGTCCTTCTTGATTTCAACCTAGAATTCGTGGTGGAGGCTGATGCATTAGGTAAGGGAATAGGCGCGGTCCTAATGCAGCAAGGTCGGCCACTGGCCTTCTTCAGTAAAGCCCTCTCTCCTCAAGCTCAAGCCAAGTCAACTTACGAGAAGGAGCTCATGGCAATCACTATAGCAGTTCAGAAATGGAGAGCATATCTCCTGGGCCGAAGGTTCGTTGTTAGGACGGATCAACGCAGCATCAAGCATCTGTTGGAGTAGTGAGTCTTGGGCCCTGAACCAACAAAAATGGGCCTATAAGTTGTTGGGGTTTGATTTGTCATTGAATATAAACCTGGGCCTTCTAATGCTATGGCTGATGCACTCTCCCGGGTAGATGACTTTCACATGATGGGCGTGTCATAGCCGACCTATCCCTTGATGGACCAGCTAAGACAAGAGGCCCATGAGGACCCTCACCTAGCTCAGATACGGGCCCAAACCCTTGAAGGTCCCACACTTACTTTAGGGTGCGTCGTGAAAAATGGTATTCTCTTCTACAAAGGCCGAATGGTGGTATCTGACAGGTCCAAGCATTATCGGGAATTGCTACGGCTTTTTCATGACTCGGCTCAAGGGGGTCATTCCGGAGCTCTCTGCACCCATAAGCGTTTAACAACCCATTATCATTGGAAGGGCATGAAATGGTACAGGAGTATGTTGCAAGATGTGCGACTTGCCAAGAACAAAAATATAGCATGCAAACACCATCTGGGTTATTGCAGCCTTTGCCCACCGGAGAAAGTTTGGGAAGAAGTTTCCATGGACTTCATAACCGGGTTTCCCGTATCTCAAAGGATGTCAGTAGTGTTGGTGGTGGTAGACCGGTT